TGTTAGACTTAGCATTCTCCTTCAATTCTCAAACATAGTTCAGCAGTAGAAATTAATGAAGAATAACAAGTACATTTCCAAGTCCAACACATTCCTGATTAATGTAAAAATATTTTAAACATTCTGTCACTTTTTGTCCAAATTACAAAACTAACACAAAAATATGATTTAGCTGCTCAGTGTTAAGGATGTAAAATCACACATTTTACTTAATCCAAATAGTCCGTGGTTTGAAGGCATTTTCAGGCACAGAGAGAATCAAAGATATGTTCTACCTTGACAGGTAATTTCTCCTGTGGATTAATTCAGATTAGGATGTTGTAGTTGTGCATTGGATTTTTTACCCAATAGATACAGACTTTGTATTGTTGCGAGATCTTAATGAATACGATTGCTGGAATCTATCACTTAGAATGTCATGTTGTGTATAGCTGTTGACATTGAAAGATTGCCAGGATTTCTTTAAGGTTAGAACAGGTCTGAAATACTGGAATCCAACCACAGTGCTGAACTATTGTTACATAGATACTCCAACATTCCTAGGTCATGAAAATACATCTCAAATGATGACATTTTACCTAAGTGGTGATATCTGTTTTATCTCCCTCAATTGATAACTGTGGTTATCTGATCTTTTTATGGACCTCTAGCTATGGTTATCTGATCTTTTAGATCTGAAGTCATGACTGATCTTTCTAAATCAGTGTAGTTATAGTTTTCAGTGGTGTTTTAGTAGCACTATTTCTGATCAAGTTTTACCCGAGATCATTGAAACATATATTGTTGTAATTTTAACATGAGGATCAATGTTGGTCAGTGGTTTTTTCTGTATGGTCATTTAAGAAAAACACACTGTCAATTGGATTTATTTTCTGAAATTTAGGGTTGACCGAGCAAAGATTGGAAGTGGTTTGAGAAGAAAAGATGGTTGGGTATAAAGTTTATGGTTAGCTACAGGTGACTGGATCAGATGAAGTTTTATCGTGTGTTTAAACAGAGTACATTTCTGAAATCAATGTATAGCCTCCATCACCTTTTCTCAGCACATTCTATCTCATCTTTTATAAGTGAATGTATCATTGGATTAAAATATTCACAGTCAAATGTTAGCTTGTTCACCCTAGCAGGTGACAAGATTATCAAAGGTGGGAAAATTTTTATCCTGGGAGTTTGTACACATGTGAAATGGACTGTGTGGTTTTACATGTAGTGAAGAAATCATTAAGATTTACAAATAGTGTTTTAGTCTCACACTATTTTAGCGGATATAGAACTATATCTTTGTGGGTAGTTATAAAAGGATGGCGTGCAAGTTAGTTTTGGATTGATGAAAATGGTCATGCAAGTAATGTCGAGTTATCACCCTTTTTTTTTTTTTTTTTTGTGTATTTTTCAAAATTTTGTATTGATGTTCATATTTCTTCAAAAATGTTCTTACTGCATGCAGAGAGAATGTTTTTGGAGAAATTTGAATTCCTGATGGTGAAACCATCCCAATCTTATATCTATTTGACGTAAAGAATTCTGATTGAAATTTTCACAAAAAAATTAAGGTCATAATTTGACAGCCTTGGGTAACTCCAGTGTGAATTTAAAAAAAAAATATCAATACTGGCAGGACTTCCGTGATTCCCTGGGTCATGAGTATACCTTTTAATAAGCCTAATAACACTTAAATGTTCCAGACTTCTCCTTGGTTGCCCAGAGTGAAGATTGGGGCATTCATGTTGCATTAGCTCATCTAATTTTGTATGCAAACGTCTAATAGAAACAACATTTTTTTTGGAGTGATCAACATGCAGATATCTCTTTTATTTTAGCTTGCTGTCCAAAGTGAGTGGAATGTAGTTCTTTCATATTTGCTGGTTAAAGTGCATCTGAGATCTAATTGATATTCCTCAAACGTTGCATCTAATATGCAGATGATTTAGATCATGTTTCAACGAAGTTCCTGATAGTATGATTACAGAATAGGATGCCTATTTTGTAATTTATAGCTAATGATGTATATATTATTGGTGTTTATCATGCAATATCTTCAGTGAACAGAAGCTGTGTTATATGTTTATTTAGTAAATATACATGTACCAGCAAAACACTTCCTAACTTTAAGATGTGATTAGAATATATTGTAGGAGAATGTTTAAAATATGACAGCAAAGGTTGTGTAAATCTCTGTTCAGGTCGTTATATGCGCTGGAATTATTCTATGGGACAGAATATGTTAAGATGTATATGACATCCATAAATTCACATGTAGATTTCAAGTGCTAAGCATATGTTTTGTTCATATGCATGTATTTAAACTGCCTTTCTGTCCCTCTGGTTGTCCTTTTTAGACCAATTCTTGTTGTTTTTCTCAGAAATCACAGGTTTTGCTTGGATGTAAGAATTCGAAGCCGAAGTTTTGACGTTGTCATGTTTTCTGAGGTAGTTTGGAGATAAGAATCTGCTACTGTCAGCTAGACAACCTCGCTTTGGTGACATGAATCAATAACGAAGAAGTTTTGATAGGAAATCAATAACTTCAACTACTGAGTGATAAGTTTACTACAGGACTACGGGGCTATACTGCTGTATATAATACATAAACTTACTCAAGCATGAAACATAAATAGCTAAATACTACAAGTGTCGCACTTGGTGCATGACACATCAGCATGAGGCTTGAAATGTAGTGGCACCCTCAGTGAACAAAACAGGTCATTAATTGATTAATTTCTGATTTTTAACAAGTCTCAACTTGAATTTTTAGAGGTGGTTCATTCATGGTAACAAATTTAGATATCGATGATGAGCACATCATGGAAATGACAAGCTCTAAGCATCAAGATATAGTCCTTGGTTTCAACTGGGTTTATTTTTTGAGAGATATTTTATCAATACGGAAATAAAAGTGAAACTTAGAACTGTATATAATTGCTTGTAATGTGCCTGAGTGATGACTATGATGTCTAGCTTAACCAGAGGGCTGTTTACATATCAAAGTGGCTGTTATATAAATATACATCATATGGTGGCGTGTTTTTGTCTTTGTACACACATGTAATTAATACATCACAGCCAATAATTCAGTTGTCTGATGTCTGGGATACAGAACCATACAACATAAAAAAGGACTGCATGTTTCCTATAGAAACCAATATTTCCAGCCGTTTTGTTTTGTCTGTATTCTCTGTGATATTTTGTCAGTTAAAACTGCTGCGTAATGAAATGAAATCTGGGGTTTTTAAACTTTTTAAAGTATCTCGGTGATATGGGGTAAAATGAGCCTGGATGGGCGGGCGGTATGATTACACCGAGGAAGGGTGGAGTCACTTTCTTGTTTTATTATTACATCAGCATTTAAGGCTACTTATCTCAAGCTCCACTTCAATACTTTAATTAACGCCTAGTTCATGCAAGGACAACTTCCTTCTGATGTAATAAGAACTTGGGTCATTCAAGAAAAAACCACAGTAAAGATAAGGATTCTGGTGACATGTAGTAACCAATAGTCTTTTATGAAAACTTCTAAAAATCTTCAGAACATAATATTTACATGATGTAACAGGCTGAAATAATAACCTCACACAGTCTAGATTTCCTGTCCCCATTAGTATATAAACTATTCTGTTAAGTTATTTCAGGCCCCTAGGGCTGTCTTGTTTCCTTGATCTTGTAGTTGTTATTCGTAACGAAACTGATGGAGAATACAGAATCCGCCCATAAGGTTCTTAAAATGATGGGTATCGGCTTTCTGTATTTCTGTTAAACAGATTATATATAGCATTTTATGCTGCGGCTTAAGTGGCACACAACACATCCATCTCCGATATCACAGGTATTTGTCCAAGTGGAATGTAAAGCAACATGTTCTTTTATTTCCTATGTAAATAGGTGGTTATCATTGTGATGTTTTTAACATCATAGCTGTAAAGCATTGATTTGAAAACAACACATAGTAATTAGGGAGTACATATAGAGAAGATCTGTTTTGAACTTTACGGAAAAAAAAAAAAAGCCATGAAAATGTCTGCAGTGTGCTTTATGGCTGTAGTTGGAATCTTCTGGCAGGTTTTAGATAATCGTAGGAACAGAAAACAAAAAAATGTCACTCAAAAGGGAAAAATCCATTCATGAAATGATGTGTTTAATAATTGAAGAATTGAACTCCTTTCTGGTCGTACTTTAATAAAGACATATTTATGATTTCTACAGGCCTTCATTAAACCCTTTTTGGTCATACTTTGATAAAGACATATTTATAATTTCTACAGGCCTTCATTAAACCCTTTCTGGTCATACTTTGATAAAGACATATTTATAATTTCTACAGGCCTTCATTAAACCCTTTCTGGTCATACTTTGATAAAGACATATTTATAATTTCTACAGGCCTTCATTAAACCCTTTCTGGTCATACTTTGATAAAGACATATTTATAATTTCTACAGGCCTTCATTAAACCCTTTCTGGTCATACTTTGATAAAGACATATTTATAATTTCTACAGGCCTTCATCAAACCCTTTCTGGTCATACTTTGATAAAGACATATTTATTTATAATTTCTACAGGCCTTCATTAAACCCTTTCTGGTCATACTTTGATAAAGACATATTTATTTATAATTTCTACAGGCCTTCATCAAACCCTTTCTGGTCATACTTTGATAAAGACATATTTATTTATAATTTCTACAGGCCTTCATTAAACCCTTTCTGGTCATACTTTGATAAAGACATATTTATTTATAATTTCTACAGGCCTTCATCAAACCCTTTCTGGTCATACTTTGATAAAGACATATTTATTTATAATTTCTACAGGCCTTCATTAAACCCTTTCTGGCCATACTTTGATAAAGATATGATAATTACAGTTCTGTCAGGATCTACCATTGTAACTATAATGGTTACTACAGTATGATGATGAGCTCTATGTAACACCCAGCTCTCATTCACAGTTGGAGCTGAAAATTTTCTGGTTTGTAAAATGCATCAATGTTGTCTTTTCCAGATGAACAGGAGAGGGTCCAGAAGAAAACGTTTACTAACTGGATGAACACCTACCTCAAACAGGTCAGTTTGTCTCCTCAGGTTTTTTTATGCCTGATTCTTTGAATTTGATATTACTAATGTGTAAGGTCCGATGACCTCTCTATATCTGGTCATTTTGTCCTATCTTCCCCACAGGGGCCTGTAACATTTCTGGGAGATGAGGGCGTGTATGGTATATTATCACAGGGGCCTGTAACAATATATCTGGGGGATGATGGCCTGTATGGTATACCATCACAGGGGCCTGTAACATTTATGGGGGATGGGGGCGTGTATGGTATATTATCGCAGGGGCCTGTAGCAATATATCTGGGGGTGATGGTCTGTATGGTATACCATTCAGACTATCTGTGTATCATTCATTTGCAAACTTTTATTTAATATTTTGTTATATTAACAAACTTTTGTCAGTCGGTTACCACATTGTAAGAAAAGGTGCAGCTTAAATTCTGTTGCGTCTTATATGTAGATCAAATAAAAAAAAATCAGTAAAAACCAGCCATGCGACTTATTCTTGGATGCGGTTTATAGCCTGTAAAATACAGTACTGCAATCATTAAAGGGGACCAGGAAAACAAACCATCCACAGAAAAGTGACATATTCTGTCAAACATTGTTAAATTTTTACACATTTTGTACCAAAATCCTCGTAAAAAAGTTACCTTCAAGGAAAATATAACTTAAAATACAAATTACAATAAACATATGTTTCCCTCAATGTGAATCAAGACTGTCAGTTTCCTTAATGTAGCTATGTCTGTCTGCTAAAATCCTGGTCAATTAAGGCCAATATTCAGTAAAATCACCTTCAGCATGTATTTAATTCACTTTCAGGTGACATTTTTTTATTACATATATATTTGCCATGACTGCCATCTTGAAAACACTTTTTAAACTTCATCTCAAGTTTCACTTATTCCTTTGAGCTGAAAGTTATTGGAATATTAAAGAGGGAAACAATGAATAGTTGTTACTTTTTTGGCTCTTTAGAAGTTCAAGATGTAGCGGTGATGGTCAATAATGGTCATGATTGCACAATCGTTGTTTCTCTGAATGAACAATTTACAATTCAATCCTCTTCTCAAGTTCTTTCCGTGAGATTTAGCTGAAACTAGCCTGAAATGGTCCCGAGATGGTCCTGATTAAGTGTTATTTTTCAAATCAGTTCGTAATCCAATAAGGCCGCTATTGCCATTGAATTGAAATTTGCAGGAATTTTATTTTTGCCATAACTGCTAAAATGTTCTGAATTGTTAGGATAAATTACCTACTACCACCACAGGATTATCTAGAATTGCTTCAATCAGCATATTTATTCTTTGGTTGTGAAATGTATTCTTGGCAAATTATCAATGAAAACATAAATCATTTCATATTTCTATATCAGTTAGTACATTTCCTTACAGAAAAATATGAAGGTGGAGAATCTGTTTGAAGACATCAAGGATGGTGTTCATCTTCTCTCTCTTTTGGAAGTTCTGTCGGGGGAGAAACTGGTATGTATCTACACACCTCACACTGTATCAATACCAAACCCTCCAATGCCTGATATAAAAAAAAACTTTCAAAAAAATTTAGCGAAAATTAGATTGGAATTTAAGAATAGACTTATTTGTAAATTGAATGAAAGGAAATTCTTACAGATCTCTATACAACTCATTATAATTCCGATGTGAGTCGATTGGATTAGTAAGATCTGCTATAGTAAGGTAAGAGTAAACTTACAGATTGTTGTCTTATTATTCCTACCCGATATCACAGTTGGTAAACATTGGAATTTTCTATCATGTCATTCCTAGGGGCTTTACAACAAAACAAAATTGAACAGACACAGGGTGTTGTAACATGGTTGGACAGGAATGCCAGTGAATGGCTTCTGTATGTTACTCTTGTAGGGCTCCCCGATCTGCCAGATTTGGGGCCAATACTCGGCCCCATTCCCAATGCAAAATAGTATCTTTTCTGCCCAATTTAGACCCCAAGTTTTCCAAATTCTAAGGAAAACGCTGATATTTTTCCCAATTCTAAGGGCCCAGGGCCCCAGTCCCAAAATGGGGTGTGAGAGCCCTGTCTTGATACAATCATCTACAAATGTATCATCTCTGTGTGTTGTGTTTGTTTGTTAACCAACTGTTAAATGATTTTATTGTGGGTTTCACGTTTATTGAATTCAAGCATGAGCACACTTTACACCAGACAGTTATATATAGACATTGTGCGCTGATATTTGAATGAAAGTGACAGTAAACCGGTCTTTTTGTGTGTAACGCAGGGTTTTTTTGTTATCAAAAATGAATTTGCAGTGACAAGAATTTTATCCCTTAAGTGGCAATCGGTAGCTTTATGGAATGATAATTTATCTTAACTCGATCATGGCTGCATCTCAGTTTTAGACATAATGGAATATCTTAATTCTGTAAGGACAATATCAAGATTTACCGAAAATTCAACCTTGTTCCCATTAGTGTACACACATCAGCTAAATCTTTAATGTATATATAGAAAGGATCTATTTAAACTGATATTAGGTGGAACTTGAGAACTCCAACATAAACAATTAACAAAGCTCAGTTGACAAACTTTTATATTCATATTCATGAAGTGTATGTAATAGAGCGTAGTCTGCATGTTAGTGTGATATTCTGTCCAGCAGACAGAAGAAATCAGCATGTTTCATCATACAAGCATGTCTTTTTGAGAAAATAGCAATAAAGCACAAGGAGGCCATTGGACACCTGTTGTGGAAATGAATATGAATTGTTAAATTATTTTAAATGGTTTCTGAAAGTGGGTTATGATACAAGAGTACAGCTAACATACGCAGTATACAGCAATGTAGCCTGGGTCCTATTTAGCAGACTTGATTGGTTTCTGGTTTTCTGTAAACAATCACTGCCTGTGTCAGGTTAAGTAATAAGATCTTTAGTCATGGCAGCTGAACAATTACATTATTTATTCCACAAAATGGTCTGGAAAGAATTTTAACTTAATGACATATTCATGAAAACCTGATTCATAGGCAAGATGTTCGTACATTCGTACATTCGGAATGTTTTTTTAGTTGGGTGTGAAATTGTTGTGTTATTTTGTCCCAGTGATCGCACACAGCCATGTTGTGGGTATATGATACATATTTGAGATTTAAATGATGTAGATGACAAGGGTCTGGAATCAGTTTTTGATGTCCTACCAGGGCTGAAACAGGGGTATGAAAACAGTTTCAGTATGATGTCTGTATATCCTGCAGCCTGCTGTTCTGGACTTTTGTCGCTTGGTAGAGTTTTGGCTAGATCTTGATATTCAGGCTGGCTATGCTAGTAAGTCTTCCCTCCAAAACTCCAGCTTGTTTGAACTTGACTTATGTGTTAACACACCTTAAATACGTACATGTTTAGCCTAGTTATCTGTGTACATTGACAGGTGAAATGACATACCTGGTAAATTACACCTACTTATATGATTGTTCTTTTTACAGAGTCTCTAATTAAGGTAGTTTTCAAACATCTACAAAGTCAGGATAACTAATCTAAGGAATAAAAAAAATCCTATTGATGACCTATTTAGAGGGATCATTCTGGTGTCACAGGCTTACTTCACAAGTACCTCTATGTGTGTTCAATAAAATATAACATTGTGAACACGGTAATTTAAAGTGAATAATGATTTAAACCTCTAGTGTCATTAATACTGTGTGATAAGAAAATATTTTAGCTCTACTCCAGTACTGCTTTCTAAAGAATTGTTATTTTTGTATGCTCATCAAAGTTTAAACAGAATGTATCATTAGACAGGCAAATCTTCTGAGGTGTCTACATAGTATTAACAGAATGTATCATTAGACAGGCAAATCTGCTGAGGTGTCTACATAGTATTTAAGTGAATGTTTATGGATTTGAATGAGTCCTCAATTGATGTTATGGGGAAAAAATTGTCTTTGAGATATATAACTATGTAGTAAACCTTATTATAATACATTGGACACCTAGATATTAATCCTGTCCAAGCTACCCTAATTTATTCATCAAATTTATGGTAAAGTGCCTATAGCTGTAATTAGGAAACTGTTTTGTTATCTGTCAATGTTTGGATAAAAATAATTTCCATTTTATTTTTTAGCCAATGGAGAGAGGGAGACTCAAAAGAGTTCATCATGTCAGCAACTTGTCCACAGCTTTGAAATTCCTTGAAACCAAGAAAGTGAGTATAGGCATCAATTTCTTTATGTTATAAAAATGTACGATCAATGAACTGTATGTTGTAAATTATTTTGAACTCAGATTTGTTTGTATATTAAAATAGTGTACTTTTCAGATAAAATGTGTTTGATATTTCAGATCAAACTTGTAAATATAAATGTGTCGGACATTGCTGATGGGAAGCCGTCCATTGTTCTGGGGCTGATCTGGACCATCATCCTGTATTTCCAGGTCAGTACATAACACATATACAACATAAACAAAGAGACAACAACAAATGGGAGTGATTTGCAAAAGATTTACTTCACTAAGTAGTTCGGTTTTTTGTAAAAGCACTCCTTTTATTACACATCATACAACAAAAGTATCAACCAACCGTCTGCTCCAACTCATCTGTACAGCTCTGTCCTCCAACTCATCTGTATAGCTCTGTCCTCCAACTCGTCTGTACAGCTCTGTCCTCCAACTCGTATGTACAGCCGAGTCCTCTAACTCATTTGTACAGCTCTGTCCTCCAACTCGTCTGTACAGCTCCGTCCTCCAACTCGTCTGTACAGCTCCGTCCTCCAACTCGTCTGTACAGCTCTGTCCTCCAACTCGTCTGTACAGATCTGTCCTTTAACTCGTCTGTACAGCTCTGTCCTCCAACTCATCTGTACAGATCTGTCCTTTAACTCGTCTGTACAGCTCTGTCCTCCAACTCGTCTGTACAGCTCTTTCCTCCAACTCGTCTGTACAGTTCTGTCCACCAACTCGTCTGTACAGCTCTTTCCTCCAACTCGTCTGTACAGCTCCGTCCTCCAACTCGTCTGTACAGCTCTGTCCTCCAACTCGTCTGTACAGCTCTTTCCTCCAACTCGTCTGTACAGCTCTTTCCTCCAACTCTTCTGTACAGCTCTGTCCAGCTATTTATATTTTAAATTTTAACCCTCCTTTATGGATTCCTGGCCCTTTGTTTTAAAAAAGGAGATCAATCTTTGTTGGGACAACTCCCCATACAATTGTGGGCTGATTTCATATTTACAAATGACAGTTCTTGATACAAACGTGTTGTATTTCTGTTTGGACCAACAATATCCTGTCATCTGTATTGTAGTTAGATGATATAGTTATAACACTTAATGTTTGCCACTCTGTTGATGATGTCACTTTTACTTCGTGATTGTTTTTTTACGTGGTAACATCTCTCCTATTTCAGCGCTATGGTAGATCTTTTTTTCAAGGAAGGAAAGTTAGTTTCTTATCAGTGTTGGTTAGTCTGGAGCACATGTTAGCCTAACGGCTTTGTTTATACCTATAGAACTCAACACTTGGGTAGAAGGAGCAATGATATATTATGATGAGGATTGTAAATTTGATTTGCAGCAAAATGAATTCACATGGTTTTATACACTTGAACACCTGAATGATATCACATGGTTTTACATTTTTTAATAGGTGAACAATATTGCATGGTGCTACTTTCACAGCCATGTCACATGGTGTTACTTTCTCTCACAGCTATGTCACATGGTGTTACTTTCTCACAGCCATGTCAAATAGTGTTACTTTCTCTCACAGCCATGTCACATGGTGTTACTTACTCTCACAGCCATGTCACATGGTGTTACTTTCTCACAGCCATGTCACATGGTGTTACTTTCTCACAGCCATGTCACACGGTATTACTTTCTCACAGCCATGTCACATGGTGTTACTTTCTCTCACAGCCATGTCACATGGTGTTACTTTCTCACAGCCATGTCACATGGTGTTACACACTCGTAATCATGATACATTGTGTTATACTCTCACAGTCAGGTGACATGGTGTTATACTCTCACAGTCAGGTGATATAGTGTTATACTCTCACAGTCAGGTGACATGGTGTTACAATCTGGCACAGTTATATATGTAGCATAGTTTAACACTATCACAGCTGACTGATTTTACATTCTTACTGCTAAGCCTTGTCATTTTCTATACATTTTACTCTAAAAGATTTTTACTATATCTTGTCAAAGCCAAATTTCAGTCATTGGTTATAGACATAATATCAAAGTTCCTCTACTGTTTGTCTGTTCCTAAGATATTGCAGGTTTGGTTGACATCAGGGATATCCTTGAAATTTAATATGAATGGTGACTTTGACATTTAATAATCTTTCATTGATTTTAAATGAACGATACTGAAGACATTATTCAAAATCATTAAATACAGATTTTTGGTTTGGTGTTTTGTGGATCGTGTTTGATTACAGTTAGAGATCATTTCCTCTGTCAATCACACTGGAATTGATCTTTTATGTATTCTGTTCTCTTTTTTTTCTAAGCTGTATCATTTAATCGACATCAGTAACTCTCGTCAAATTAAATCTATCATCTTGGGTAATTTCATTTGAGTTGCTGTCATAAGTTTTCAGTTGAATTGACGTGGTTATGTTTAGCTACAATCAATACACTGAGTTACTAGGATCATTTTGAGAAACTGTCATCATATTGAGTCACTATTATCATAGGAGACCTTTTCAGTATTGAGTCAGGATCAACATATTGAGCCACTGCCATAACGAGTCACAATCATCCTTTGGTATAATTGTCATTTTGAGTCACTATCCTCAAAGGAGTCATTTTTACGTTGGGTCTGTTACCATATTGAGTCACTATCATCATAGGAGTCATTTTCATGTCGAGTCTGTTACCATATTGAGTCACTATCATCATAGGAGTCATTTTCACGTCGAGTCTGTTACCATATTGAGTCACTATCATCATAGGAAGCATTTTCATGTCGAGTCTGTTACCATATTGAGTCACTATCATCATAGGAGTCATTTTCACGTCAAGTCTGTTACCGTATTGAGTCACAATCGTCCTGTAGACATATTGAGTTACTATCATATAGTCACTGGCATATTGATTTACTTATCAATCTAATCATATTGAGTCACAATCATCATATTGAGTCACTTTTGCTCTATTGAATTACTGTCATATTGAGTTGATATTTTCTTATGGAGTTGCTATCATCATATTGAGTCCCAATCATGATAATGAGTCACTGTCGTCAAATTGACACGTTATGCCTATTGGTGGAATAAAAGTGACCTGTCATCATTTAAAAAATTCATGGCATCAGGGAGGGAATTCTTCAGGACTATTCACAAAATTTGGTTTGACCTGACCTCAAGTCCAACACTTCAGACAAGCTTCATCAAATACTTGTGGTGGATGTCCTTTTAAAGGATTTATTGACAGCAGTTTGTTGTAGTGGTTAAGGATTTTTATAACAGTTAACTAATAGGTGAACTTTTAGGCCTAACACAGATAGGTTTATAGATAGACTAATCCATACACACCAGTTTTAGTAGTAATTATTGATCTCCCGGTGTAAAGGTGAACCTGTCAGGCCTTTCATAAAATTGACAGGTCAGTCAAACAATGATTTATGGTTCAACAGAGCTAAGGTTCCGCGGTGGGAGGATCAAATTATGAAGGTTCATTGTATATTGACACATGAAAACCTTGTTTACTTTGTAGTAAGCCCTTAAGTAATCCTTGTGTGAGATTTGGTGTTCGAAGAGTTGAAGTGTGTCTATATATAAATGGGTCAATTATTGTTTTCTATTCTAAAAGGGTTAGGAACATTATCTGTTTGTAAATAAATAGCATGTTGGTTACGAGTAAATTTGATGACCTTAAGTAAAGCTGTGTAATTATATATAGAAGTTATCGTTGTTATAAAACCTAGACAAGCCAGACATGCTATTAACTACGTCAGTATATTTTACCGTTTATTTTACACTGAATTAGATATTATTTCTGTAAATTTTGAACGAAATAAAGCCAGTCAGTAATTTTACATTGATGTACCAGAAAATCATGTTAATTGTGTTGAAATTAATTAGATTAATAAATCCAATTGTTTCTATCAGAAAAGAAAAGCTGATCTTGTGGTCATACAACAATGTAGCAGAAAAGAATAAATCCTGTTTGTGTGATCAATTGTGACAATTATAGCCAGGAAGAGTTAGAGATGGTTGTGTCATGTTCAGATTACTATCCTTACTGGAGAAAAAGTTCTTTTATGACAGGCGACACATTGCCATGGTAACACTGAGATTACATTAACATAAACAGAGGTGTTGGTTATCTTGTTAATGGAAGTAGTAAATGCATTGTTTAAAGTTCCTTGTTTTATTTTACTGTGATTAGAATGTATTGTTTACATGTAGCACAATAAAACCTACATATATATCTGATATGTGAGATATGCTTGTATGTCATCATTCAGATCAAACTAGACAGGTGTTGATCAGTCAATGGTTTTACTCTCTAGATTGAAGACACGTTTGCTCAAGCTGGTGTGGGTGAGGATGGCCAGCCACGAGAGTTATCTGCCCTTGAGAAATTTCGAATGAATGCAAAGAAGGCGTTGTTGGCATGGACAGGAAATGCTATTACAAAGTAAATGAGAGTTTTGTTGCTCCATGTTGCTGAAACATTACTAAAACAAGAGTATATTTCATATATATACAATATACAGAAAAAAGAAATAAATTTAAAGTTTTGTGTGTAATTTTTATACTGTGTATGGTTATGTAGTAAGAAAATGATAAAAAATCAACGGAATATGATGGTTACCCTATATTTCTATAAACGTCTGTTTACAGACAAGATTTTATTAATTACATCTGTTTATAGACATTATTTTGTAAACATTTCTTGACCAATGACATTTTGATAACGTTTGTTTACAGACGCTATGGAATTGAAATCAACAATTTTGGGAAGAGCTGGCGTGATGGTTTGGCGTTTAATGCAATCATACACACAATTCGTCCTGACCTGATTGACTTCGATCAAGTGCGACAACAGAATGCACGTGTGAACTTGGAACAAGCCTTCTCCACCGCAGAGAATTCTCTAGGAATTCCACGTCTGCTTGATCCAGAAGGTTTGTCTACAAGGGAATTAGCTTAGATGTTTGTTGTGGTCTTTCATAGTATGCAATCATCTATCATTTAACTGAGTTTGAAAATAAAAGTAAAAAAAAAAAAGAAAAAAAAAAAAAAGGTTTTTCAAAATGTTTGCTGTACACAGATAAAATTGCATATACTGAATATTGAATATGCAGTTTATCTCAGTTTGTCATGTGATATGAGGTGTGAACCATCCTTGTTTTCACTTTATCTATTCACACAATTTTGTGTTGCAGATGTGGATGTCGAGAAACCAGACGAGAAATCCATCATGACATATGTGGCCCAGTTTCTGAAGGCCTACCCAGAGGCTGGAGAAGATCCCTCAGTAAGTTAAGACTGTTGAGATCTGTAGGATTTTGACAGTAGTACAACAGATCTCGGACAGATCTATAAATAGTATATCATTTCAATATCAACTCAAGTGGCCATTGACATGACAAGTCTCTTGTTATAAAGAATTAAGATATCATAACACATAATTTCCTCACCGATTTTTCTAAGAGATTACAATATTGTAAAAGATCAACATGCAGTAGAATGAGAGCATATGACCTTTGACTTAGTGAGGTTTCAATCCTTTTGAGAGATACCTACGTAGAAGAAAATCATTGTAGTAGATGAAGGGATTATCCTTTTGGTTGAAATGATACCTGGAAAAAGAAACAGTAAATACCGTTTGGGATAAATTCGTGGGACCTCAACCAGCGAAGATTCTCAAGTTGACAAATATGAGGTTTGGTAAATTACTATTGTACACATGCTTATTTCACTCACATTAAACTGTATGATGAGTTCTACTTTTCCCTGCTGGTCTTGCGCATATGTTTGTAATATTGCCATCATTGCTTGGCATTATTAACGTGACATTGTTGATTGGTTGATGTGTCATCAATGAATTGACTATGATGTCATGCAGTTGTCTTAACATGAGAATCTCCCCTCTCTACTGAGAGGGAATCCCCCCTTTCCACTGAGAGGGAATCCCCTCTTTCCACTGAGGGGGAATCTCCCCTTTCCACTGATGGGGAATTCCCCCTTTCCATTCCCTTGTCCAGTGAGGGGAAGACAAGGTGATGTAAAATAAAAGGTCAAGAACTGCCGATCAGCTGTTCGTGCTCAGCTGATATTCATTGTACTGTTTATAATAAGACCTCTCTTTTTCTTTTATTGGTCCTCAAATTGTTGTTAAATAGACAGAAAATGTTATCATTACTGGTATTTGACTTCATCTTTTTACAGCTTGCAAAGAGGAAGAAAAATCCTGCAGAGCAGGAATTGGCAGACTACACAGATTTGATGGCATGGCTGAACAGTGAGGCAGATGAAGTACTGCAGATTGTTGACCAGCCAGTCACTGACCGACAGCAAGAGTACATGGTAAGTTTTCTGTCTTCTGACATGGCACATTGTCGTCCAGCTTGCCATTGACTGAGAGGAGGAGTACATGGTAGGCTTTCTGTTCTTAAATGTGGCAGATTGTCACCCAGACTGACAGCAGGAGTACATAGTTGGTCTTCTGTCTGGGATTGTGTACCTGAATGCATCTTGTTTACTGCATTGATGGGTTCACTTTAAACAACACAACTTGTGTACACAGATCAGGGAATAACCTTCTTCAGTGACCTTGATGTGACCTTGCTGTGACACACAGATGACAACTATTTAATTTATAACATATCATTATAATGTAAGATGTTTGAACAAATACAGATTTATGGGAGAAGGAGCAGTGTTTTGTTTGTAGAAGACATGTTTGTTTAGAGAGATAAGGGTGGGTCCCCAGAAACTTCAGAATCCTCAATCTCAGTACAGAATGTGTGGTTCAGCAGACAAACAGACATGTAAACTGTATACTTTTTAGATATTGGAACTTAACCTGAAGGATGTTCCTGTGATATTGTTACAAGTACTAGTGATGATGTACTAGTGATGTTGTACTGATTACCTTCGGTCACGGTCTTTGTGCTCCACAAGGGACTTATCTAATCAACAATACAAGTGTTAATACAGGTTTCTGAGGGTCTGGTTTAGACAGGTGTTAGTACAGAGTTTTATAAAACTGAGGGTCTGGTTTAGACAGGTGTTAGTACAGAGTTTTATAAAACTGAGGGTCTGGTTTAGACAGGCGTAAGTACAGGTTGCTATACAGCTGAGGGTCTGGTTTAGACAGGTGTAAGTACAGGTAGATATACAAATGAGGGTCTGCTTTAGACAGGTATAAGTACAGGTAGATATACAAATGAGGGTCTGTTTTAGACAGGTGTAAGTACAGGTAGCTATACTGAAGGTCTGGTTTAGACAGGTGTAAGTACAGGTAGCTATACTGAAGGTCTGGTTTAGACAGGTGTAAGTACAGGTAGCTATACTGAAGGTCTGGTTTAGACAGGTGTAAGTACAGGTAGCTATACTGAAGGTCTGGTTTAGACAGGTGTAAGTACAGGTAGCTATACTGAAGGTCTGGTTTAGACAGGTGTAAGTACAGGTAGCTGCACTGAAGGTCTGGTTTAGACAGGTGTAAGTACAGGTAGCTGCACTGAAGGTCTGGTTTAGACAGGTGTAAGTACAGGTAGCTGCACTGAAGGTCTGGTTTAGACAGGTGTAAGTACAGGTAGCTGCACTGAAGGTCTGGTTTAGACAGGTGTAAGTACAGGTAGCTGCACTGGAAGGTCTGGTTTAGACAGGTACAGGTAGATATACAAATGAGGGTCTGCTTTAGACAGGTAAGTACAGGTAGCTGCACTAAGGTCTGGGTTTAGACAGGTGTAAGTACAGGTAGCTGCACTGAAGGTCTGGTTTAGACAGGTGTAAGTACAGGTAGCTGCACTGAAGGTCTGGTTTAGACAGGTGTAAGTACAGGTAGCTGCACTGAAGGTCTGGTTTAGACAGGGTACAGTGCTCACATTATCCTGCCATTAACAACTTTGGGTTTATTGTTATCTTCAGGACTACCTGGCTTTTAAAACTGAGGTGGACAGGCGAGAGAAAATTTTCAAAAAGTTAGAGGAGAAAGCCAAGACAAAGAGCCTCCAGAGGTTAACACCAGAACAGTGGAAGGAACTGGATACTCGGTGGAACCAGGTTTATCGACAGACAAGAATGTGGCTGTGGAAACTGGATGCTAGTCTCCCAGGGCGACTAGGAAAATTTCACAAGGTAGGTACCATGTCTGTCTGTAGGTATTGTGTCAAACTAGCTGGAGGTGACTTTGGGTATTGTGTCAAACTGGCTAAATCAGGCAGAGGAAATTATGGAATCAAAGCCAGAAGAACTAGATAATCATGAAGACATGGCAAATCAGCTTGCTAAACTGGCTGGGGACCACAAGGTAGGTACCATGTCTGTCTGTAGGTATTGTGTCAAACTAGCTGGAGACCACAAGGTAGGTACCATGTCTGTCTGTAGGTATTGTGTCAAACTAGCTGGAGACCACAAGGTAGGTACCATGTCTGTCTGTAGGTATTGTGTCAAACTAGCTGGAGACCACAAGGTAGGTACCATGTCTGTCTGTAGGTATTGTGTCAAACTAGCTGGAGACCACAAGGTAGGTACCATGTCTGTCTGTAGGTATTGTGTTATGTATAAGGATGTGATTAGCTCACAAAATGTTCACTTGTTTGATGAAGTATTTGGTGTTGCCTTAGTGACTTAAATATCTATTTTCAGGAATTTTTCAAGGAACTGGAACCCTACAAACAGTTTTTTGCTCAGGTGAAGAAATCTGGTCGTTATGATGGTGAGTTTTTACCTGGACCACAGCTAGATAATTTAGCACAGAGATTACAGGTCCTGGCAAAGGAAGCACCAGTACGGGAAAAGAGACTAGAGTTTGATGAATACCATCAGAGAATTTTAGCACTACGGGAGCCAACAGAGGCCCGTTTACTACAGTGGACAGCCAAACTTGGCAAACAAAAGGAAGTGGAACAGTTACTTAATGACTACCAGGTACCTCTTCTTACTTACCTTCATGTGTTATCCTTATCAGACCTTTCAACTGAGAACTCTGACCTTTCAACTGAGAACTATGGCCTTTCAACTGAGAACTATGACCTTTCAACTGAGAACTGTGACCTTTCAACTGAGAACTGTGACCTTTCAACTGAGAACTATGAAGATGATTTTATTTTATGATAGAAATTGTCAAATTAAGCAAAAGCTTGTAACAAGAATGAAGCTTTTTCTCAGAATTCAGGAAACTGATGAAAGATTTCTCTATTAATTCTGTTTTAATGTATCAAATTTCATGTGGTTGTATTTCATAGCAATACTGATTCATCTTAATCTTTCAGGATTTTGTCACAGCTGGACATTTATTTCGCCGTTATGACCATTCATTTGAGGAACTGAAAAAAAGAGCTGAGGGCTTCAAGAAAATTGCAGGTATGTTGCATATTGTTTTCTTGTTGAAAATTTCTGTTTTATACCTGTATTCTGGAGATTTAAAGTGATTATGATCATGGTTGCTAGAAATTGGTCGAAGCTTATCTAATATCTGAATGTCCTACAGGAGACTTTGAGGTGCATTGCAGAGTTAAATCACTTTTTGAGAGAGAATAATCTTTAGGAGATTAGTATAAACCTTATATCAACCAACAAACAGCTGTCATCACATCAAAGCTTGTGTTTGTAATTATACAGATCAGGATGAAAAGAGTCGAGTGACCAAGGTGATGGAGGAGGAATCCTCGGCCTGGAAAGAGGATGCACCACAAGTGAAAAAGTCGGAAAATGTTCTGGAAGACACTGTAGAGCATTGGAAACGGTTCACAGTTTGTGTAGACATTCTGACTCCCTGGGTAGAAGAAGGTGAAGCCAAACTATCACACGGAACAACAGAAGACAAACAAAGCTTTTTCAGTGAGCTCCCACAATATGAAGAGAAACAGAACATTTTAAAGGAGTGTGGACAGTACTTGATTGAGGCATGTCGTGAACCAGTGGCTGTCGAGGTTCAGCAAACTGTGGATTATCTAATGCAAAAATTTGTCGGTTTATCAGATGGGTTTACAACATTCCAGAATGTGGAAGTGATTGGCAAGGCTCGGGTGTCTTATGGCAAAGGTGTTGACAGGATCTCAGATTGGCTAAGAAATGCTGAGGAACTGCTTGGTCTTGAAGTTCCTTGTGTACATTCCACACTTAAAGATTACCTACAGGATATTGATGTAAGTGTCAATCATTCTACATCCTTCTAATCTTCTAATCAAGTAAATGACTGATTCATCATACCACTAATGGCAATGTTTGTCCCATAATGTCCACCTTTTAATGTTTGTCCCATAATGTCCTTTTTTTATGTTTGTCCCATAATGTCCACCTTGTAATGTTTGTTCCATAATGTCCACCTTTTAATGTTTGTCCCATAATATCCTCCTTTTTATGTTTGTCCCATAATGTCCATCTTCTAATGTTTGTCCCATAATGTCCACCTTGTAATGTTTGTCACATAATATCCTCCTTTTTATGTTTGTCCCATAATGTCCACCTTTTAATGTTTGTCACATGACGTCTATCATATACTTGCTTGTTCCAGAAAGTTAAATATAGATCATGAAAATAACATTTCCATAACATAAAGTAAATAATGAGAATGAATTGTAGCACATTTAAATGAACATGATTGCATGCTCTTTTTCCACAGCTTGTCAATGGTCAGATCACTGATATGGAGAATGATTTCAAAGTGACCACAAAAACAGCTCAGTCATTAGTTAAGGATAGCTCTCAGGATATTGTTAATGAAATGCTTCACACTCTCAACATTCAAAAGGAAGTCATTGTGAAGGTGAGAAAAGAAATTCCTGAAAAACTGAAATATCTTAAAGCAGTGCTTCCAAATGTTGAGTCCTTAGAGACAGGAATTTCTGACTTGAACGCATGGCTGGATAAAGGAGAGGCTGTTCTTGCCACACATAAGATGGAGGGAACTCCTCCAGCTACAGAGGCTTGTCTTGAAAAACACAAGGTAGGCATGCACTTCTTCATTTTTATGTATTTTTGTTTTTGTTTTTATCATTTAAGGATGCTTTCCAGCATTTGACCGCTGGATTAAAGATGTCCAATTTCAACAATGAGTTGGAACATATTGATTACAATTATTATTTATAATTAGCTTGGATGCTTGATTCTCTTCAAGTCTATTATAAAGTAACATAGTCTGTGAACTGGATAAAGATTTTTTATGTCTGGAGATAATTAACTTTGTTTATTTTGTAGGCATTTTTCTCAGAAGTTACCTACCAGAAATCCATCATGGAAAGTAAAAATAAAGTACACCAGAAAGTTTCATCAACAAAACCCAAATTAGACAATGTCAACTTTGATCCAGTCGATAGACCAATGGATGACACCAACCAACGATTTCAGGTCTGTTCCTGCAACATTTTTTGTTAGTAGAATTGGATTCCTAAAATGATATTCTCTTTTTTGTATCTATATACAAACTTCTTGTTATTCTTTTTTTTTGGGGGGGAATTCCTTTTGAAGTAGAAGTTATTGAGAGTTGTGAAGAGCATTTTTTTGGCTGTGGGATTGATTTAGATTTTTTTGAGAATTTTAATAACAGACATTCAAATGTTTTTTTGCAGGCATGTATTACGTCGGCCAAAGACTGGGAGAAAAGACTGGAGAATCAGTCACGGCAATGGCGAGTTCTCCAGCAGAAACAGGAAGCTGTGGAGGCGTGGCTAGCCCAGGCAGAGGCTGTGCTTAGTGACGGGGCTGATGACCCAGATAGTCTCATTAGGAAACACAAGAAATTCTTTAACCGTATTGACAATAGACTGTTTGAGGATTATCAAAACTGTGGGCAAGAAATTCTGTCCAGTCTAGACCGACAGGAACAGGGTGATCTCAAACATAATCTGGATACCATTCGGGAACGCTGGAAGGTGAGTAGAGTATCTTCCTGCAGAGAAATCTAAGTCAGCTCATTTTAATTTATTCTGGTCAAGCCTTTCTAAAAATCCTAATCAGTTTTGATAATGATTAGCTTTTGGGGGTATGAGGTTTTCATTTGTCATTTAGTACAACTGTTTCACCTGCTGGTGAACATTAAACAGAATGATAGATGGACCTTAGGATGAAAGTTTGTCTAGATTGACGTTAAATCTTTACCTGATTAAAACTTGACTGGCAATCATCGATAATGTACCTGTCTTTGTCAGGCGGTCACTAGCCAAGCCCCTATCAGACTGACCATGCTGGAGTTCCTGGTACCAGAGGAAATTTACGTCCAATGTCTGGACTCTGCTGAACAGACGCTTACACAAGAACGACAGTCATTACAGAAAAATGAAAATGTCCGGGAGGTTCTAAGGAAGCACAGGGTAAGACAAGGCAACATTGATTTTACCATTTGTCCTCTAATAAGATCCATAGGTATATAGTAATCAACTTAAGTATTTGAAGAATTTTTTGAAGGGACCTTTCAATCTGTTGTTTTGTTAAGAAACAATTTCATGGCAGAAAGGAAAAAATTATCTAAAGTCATGTAAAGCCTTCCAGTTTCTTTTTGTTAAGTAATGAAGAGATTGGGGTTGTGTTCCATCATATAGATAACAGAAACCAAGACTTAAATAGTCCAATAATCCAGGCAAGGCTTTTTTTTTATTGGCTTCTTGTCCAAGTATGTTGCACAGCTGATTAAAATACTATATAAAAAATTAAGTACAAAGCTGAATACAGCCTTGAAAGACTTTGTTAATATTTGTAGCAACTGTTTGTGGAGGGTCAGTTTACACAGACCTGCACACAATGCCTAGAGAAGATGCAGAAGCTGGCTAATGATGTACTGAAGTTGGACCGTCGTGAGACATCACTTCAGGACCGTTATGAGGAACATGCTGCTCGTTGGGCTCAGCTCAATCAGGCTCTAGATTCCACTCACCTTGATTTGAAACAACTTCCGGAAAGATGGAAAGATTACAATCAAAAGTAGGTTCAACATCAGTATTCAGTGTCCAACATCCATCCCTAAAACTCTAGTACTCTGTCCAACATCCACCCCTAAAACTCTAATACATTGTCCAACATCCACCCCTAAAACTCTAGTACTCTGTCCATCACTTATCGCTGTAACTCTAGTATTCAGTGTCCAACATCCACCCCTAAAACTCTAGTACTCTGTCCAACATCCATCCCTAAAACTCTAGTACTCTGTCCAACATCCATCCCTAAAACTCTAGTACTCTGTCCATCACTTATCGCTGTAACTCTAGTATTCAGTGTCCAACATCCACCCCTAAAACTCTAGTACTCTGTCCAACATCCATCCCTAAAACTCTAGTACTCTGTCCAACATCCATCCTAAAACTCTAGTACTCTGTCCAACATCCACCCCTAAAACTCTAGTACTCTGTCCAACATCCACCCCTAAACTCTAGTACTCTGTCCAACATCCATCCCTAAAACTCTAGTACTCTGTCCAACATCCACCCCTAAAACTCTAGTACTCTGTCCAACATCCACCCCTAAAACTCTAGTACTCTGTCCAACATCCATCCCTAAAACTGTAGTATTCAATGTCCATCACTTATCGCTGTAACTCTAGTATTCAGTGTCCAACATCCACCCCTAAAACTCTAGTACTCTGTCCAACATCCATCCCTAAACTCTAGTACTCTGTCCAACATCCATCCCTAAAACTCTAGTACTCTGTCCAACATCCATCCCTAAAACTCTAGTATCCCATCACTTATCGCTGTAACTCTAGTATTCAGTGTCCAACATCCATCCCTAAAACTCTAGTACTCTGTCCAACATCCATCCCTAAAACTCTAGTACTTTGTCCAACATCCTAAAACTCTAGTACTCTGTCCAACATCCATCCCTAAAACTCTAGTACTCTGTCCAACATCCATCCCTAAAACTCTAGTACTCTGTCCAACATCCACCCCTAAAACTCTAGTACTCTGTCCAACATCCATCCCTAAAACTCTAGTACTCTGTCCAACATCCATCCCTAAAACTCTAGTACTCTGTCCAACATCCATCCCTAAAACTCTAGTACTCTGTCCAACATCCATCCCTAAAACTCTAGTACTCTGTCCAACATCCATCCCTAAAACTCTAGTTCTCTGTCCAACATCCATCCCTAAAACTCTAGTACTCTGTCCAACATCCATCCCTAAAACTCTAGTACTCTGTCCAACATCCATCCCTAAAACTCTAGTACTCTGTCCAACATCCATCCCTAAAACTCTAGTTCTCTGTCCAACATCCATCTCTAAAACTGTAGTACTCTGTCCAACATCCATCCCTAAAACTCTAGTACTCTGTCCAACATCCATCCCTAAAACTCTAGTACTCTGTCCAACATCCATCCCTAAAACTCTAGTACTCTGTCCAACATCCATCCCTAAACTCTAGTACTCTGTCCAACATCCATCCCTAAACTCTAGTACTCTGTCCAACATCCATCCCTAAACTCTAGTACTCTGTCCAACATCCACCCCTAAACTCTAGTACTCTGTCCAACATCCATCCCTAAAACTCTAGTACTCTGTCCAACATCCATCCCTAAAACTCTAGTACTCTGTCCAACATCCATCCCTAAAACTCTAGTACTCTGTCCAACATCCATCCCCTCTAGTACTCTGTCCAACAACTCTAGTACTCTGTCCAACATCCAAAACTCTAGTACTCTGTCCAACATCCATCCCTAAAACTCTAGTACTCTGTCCAACATCCATCCCTAAAACTCTAGTACTCTGTCCAACATCCATCCCTAAAACTCTAGTACTCTGTCCAACATCCATCCCTAAAACTCTAGTACTCTGTCCAACATCCATCCCTAAAACTCTAGTACTCTGTCCAACATCCATCCCTAAAACTCTAGTACTCTGTCCAACATCCATCCCTAAAACTCTAGTACTCTGTCCAACATCCATCCCTAAAACTCTAGTACTCTGTCCAACATCCATCCCTAAAACTCTAGTACTCTGTCCAACATCCATCCCTAAAACTCTAGTACTCTGTCCAACATCCATCCCTAAAACTCTAGTACTCTGTCCAACATCCATCCCTAAAACTCTAGTACTCTGTCCAACATCCATCCCTAAAACTTTAGTACTCTGTCCAACATCCATCCCTAAAACTCTAGTACTCTGTCCAACATCCATCCCTAAAACTCTAGTACTCTGTCCAACATCCATCCCTAAACTCTAGTACTCTGTCCAACATCCATCCCTAAAACTCTAGTACTCTGTCCAACATCCATCCCTAAAACTCTAGTACTCTGTCCAACATCCATCCCTAAAACTCTAGTACTCTGTCCAACATCCATCCCTAAAACTCTAGTACTCTGTCCAACATCCATCCCTAAAACTCTAGTACTCTGTCCAACATCCATCCCTAAAACTCTAGTACTCTGTCCAACATCCATCCCTAAAACTCTAGTACTCTGTCCAACATCCATCCCTAAACTCTAGTACTCTGTCCAACATCCATCCCTAAAACTCTAGTACTCTGTCCAACATCCATCCCTAAAACTCTAGTACTCTGTCCAACATCCATCCCTAAAACTCTAGTACTCTGTCCACACATAAAACTCTAGTACTCTGTCCAACATCCATCCCTAAAACTCTAGTACTCTGTCCAACATCCATCCCTAAAACTCTAGTACTCTGTCCAACATCCATCCCTAAAACTCTAGTACTCTGTCCAACATCCATCCCTAAAACTCTAGTACTCTGTCCAACATCCATCCCTAAAACTCTAGTACTCTGTCCAACATCCATCCCTAAAACTCTAGTACTCTGTCCAACATCCATCCCTAAAACTCTAGTACTCTGTCCAACATCCACCCCTAAAACTCTAGTACTCTGTCCAACATCCATCCCTAAAACTCTAGTACTCTGTCCAACATCCATCCCTAAAACTCTAGTACTCTGTCCAACATCCATCCCTAAAACTCTAGTATTCAATGTCCATCACTTATCGCTGTAACTCTAGTATTCAGTGTCCAACATCCATCCCTAAAACTGTAGTATTCAATGTCCATCACTTATCGCTGTAACTCTAGTATTCAGTGTCCAACAGTCACCCCTATAATTTTAGTACTAAGTGTCCAATGTTAATGGCTTTATAGATATGTTTTTTTTCTGGTCAATTTAGGCTGGATGACTTTCAAACGTCTGTGGCAGTGGTGGAAGATCTGATGGAACAACTTCAGAATGAAAACCTGACAAGTGAAGAATATAAAGATCTACAGAACAAGTTCCAGGTACTGACTTCTATAACCCACCTATAACATACCATATACCTTGCCATCTCAGACTGATCTGTCAGTCTTATCATATCAAACTTTACAAAATTATCTTAAAGAAATACCTGCAATGTTTGTAGAGTAGAATGTTCAATTCCATGGCTTTAAACAAACCACAAAAGTAAACTGCAGTAAATAGGACTCCAGATTCAATGATTATGTGTATAGGTGTGTGTTAACCACAAAAGTTTTAACATCAGAAAGGATGTTTTAGGTGTAAACCGTTAAGGAACATACCTTTAAACATTTGATAATGTACAGTCTCCGTACATCTTTATCATAAATCCCCAGACGAAAGAGAAAATGTGAACCTGATGTCATCTTCTTCTATACAGAAAGCATTGAGGAACATGCGTAAATTTGAAGATGATGCTTCTTGGCTGCAAGAGAATCTGGATGAATTACTTAAAGATTCGCTAGATGCTGATAATTCTGCTGAGCAGCGACGTCTTCGGGAACTGCTAGCTCGTTTCCAAGGGTTACAACCGAAGATGCAGCCAATAGGTGACAAATCGGCTATCTTTTCCAAGGCCTATGACTTTCGAGATGGCATTGACAAGCGAGCTAATTGGTTGGAGGAGACCCAGAAACTAGTGATGGATCAGCCATTCATTGATGGACTGGAGGATGCTCGAGCATACCTTCATGAACATGAGGTAATAGCAGTTGTTTATATCTCAGCAATTTGTAGTGGTTCTTGCAATGCTTCGCAGGTCTAGATTTGTTGAAAAAATTAGTAAAAAAGAATCACAGATAATTGTCTCTAGTTTGAAATGGAAGAAGATTTGAATTTTCCTACCAGATAACTGAATTTTTTATGGATTGGTTTGATCAAGGCTTTAAAGAAAAAATTGGAATTTGTTATTATGTTGAATAAAGATAAGATACCTAGGTGTTAGACTGAATAACTAGGTAGAACCATGGCTGTGTTAAAATGCATGCTTTTAGCAATGTTAAGTGTGGTTACCACTTGTTTCACAGATCTTTAGTAGCGTAGACTTAAAATCAACATACAGATTGTTAACTGACTTTAGGTGACTCAGTTGTATCACAGTCCTCACTGTATACCCTCCTATTCTGTACTTGTAGTAATGTACACATCATGTCACTGTGTTTAATTCAATACTCCACCACTGATTCTGGTTTTCCTATGTTTTATTTGGACAGGGAAATGTAAATACACACGAGTGTGGTGATTGTATTATATAATAATTCCCTGTCTTCCAACATACCTCTTGGTTTTTACCAAAACTTTACTTTTCTGTTAACAGTATTATTTCACAATTCAAGGTCTGGTTCCACTTGGGATACAGCTTAGTCCAGTATTCTGAGGCTGTTTTAGGTCTCTTCGGGATACATTTCTGGTTTTTGTTTGTTTTTTTGGTTTTTTTTTTTTTGTAAAATAAAGTCTGTTTCCAAGAAACCATCTGAGAAATAGGTTGGTTGTGAACACAGAACAGACCCTGATTTTGTGTGTGACCAAACTAGGTTTTCTTCCTGCTAGTTGTGTGTTTTCTTGTGTAGCCTGGAACTTCTAGATGTTGTGTAGCAGACTTCTTTGTTTGGCTTTTATTCATTTGTATAATGCACATATTTCTTTGAAAAGAACAGTTTGTATACTAAAGAAATGATCTGTAGGTCATTTTGTTGTGTATTTGTGTATTGTGCACTATATTCTGTACAGATAATTATAAGAACTTGTCATATTTATTGTTCTGTCTTTAAAGTTGTTCTTCATGTTTTTTTATTTAGAAATTACCAAACGCTATCTGATTGTAGTATATACTGGCTCGTTCAATGTTAAGAATGATATCCAGCTGTTTGGTCATTTAAATTTGCTATTAGAATTCAATGCAAATCTTAACATCATTTTTATAAGATTAAAAATTTGTTATAATTATTTATGCAAGTGTTAAGATATTTGTGCAAATGTTCACATTTATCAATATACAAGAAAAACAGGAAAATTGAATTATGATTATCTACGTTGGTCCTGCATGAATGTTGTGTTATTTAAATCTACCTGTACACTGTAATGTGCTGTTAAATACTATAAAGCTATAGATATTGTGACTGTAGACTGTATAGGTAGTTAGGAGATGTTTGCTTGAGTCCATCATAAATCATAAGATGATGGTAGGCTTTTCAAATAACAATGTCTGTGGTCTGTCTGTCAGTCAGCCAGTCTGCAATTCCGTTCATCCATCCATCCATCCATCCTTCAAAAACTCCACAGATAATACATTCCTAGAAACCGTTTCAGGATGTGATCAGTATGGGTTTTGTAGTGGTTTATATCCCATTTTAATAAATACCCAATATTCAAGATGGCCACCAATGGTCATTTAGAATTTTGACATTTGAATTTTGTGATCAATGTTTTTTAAGAACCCATCAAGAGATCTTTCTTAAAGCTGAGCAGTATAGATTCTAGTTAAAAAATTACCATTTTGATATTTATGCAATATTTAAATTTTGGCATTTTAAGTTTGTAATCACTGTTTCTTATCTATTACTAATGTGCATATGACTTGCTTACTGATGTAGATTGTATACAGTAATGTTGGAAAATAACCAAAATTGATATACTTTAGTGTACAAAATCTTTGTAACAAGAGAAAATTGTAATAATCATAGTAAGATGTGCAATCTTAATTCACATCAGAAAAATGTTTAACAACTCCATCAACTCTCAACTAACCTGATATTGTCTGTACATCTGGACATTTGTCTACTGCTTCTGTTAGTCTATCCATTTGGTTGTACAGGATATTTTGATATGATTTGTTTTGTATGAAATATGTTCAGTTGGCTAATTTCTAATAAATAATATTGAATAACTGTTCAGACAATATTAATTTATTAACAAGCTCTATTTAAAAATATAACATTTGTATGTGAGATTTTAACATATATCTTAATATCAAAACTTTTGCACTTTAAACTCACAATTAAGACTAGCATGCATGTCAGACCCTTAATAATATTTGAGTCACTGAGTATAACAAGGATTTTATAATATGTGTAATTTGATGTGTTGTTGAAATAGATCATTGCCATCTGTTTGTGTTTTTACAGAGCATTATGACAAAACTTGAGTCGGAACGACCCAACATTATGGCTGATATTGAGGCTGGCAAACGATTGCAAAAGGATCGCAATGCACCCAGCTTTGTAAACAAGACTGTCACTGACCTAGACAGGAGGTGGAAAGACACTAATGAACTTGCTAAAGCCAAGCATGCTAAACTTAAGGTAAATCACCTACAAAGTTACCTGTCTACCTGTATATAACCCATCTCTGTAACTTAAGGTAAATCACCTACAAAGTTACCTGTCTACCTGTATATAACCCATTTCTGTAACTTAAGGTTAATCACCTACAAAGTTACCTGTCTACCTGTATATAACCCATTTCTGTAACTTAAGGTTAATCACCTACAAAGTAAGCTGTCTACCTGTATATAACCCATCTCTGTAACTTAAGGAAATTCACCTACAAAGTTACCTGTCTACCTGTATACAACCCATCACTGTAACTTATAGTAAATCACCTACAAAGTTACCTGTCTACCTGTATATAACCCATCTCTGTAACTTAATGTAAATCACCTACAAAGTTACCTGTCTACCTGTATATAACACATCACTGTAACTTAAGGTAAATCACCTACAAAGTTACCTGTCTACCTGTATACAACCCATCACTGTAACTTATAGTAAATCACCTACAAAGTTACCTGTCTACCTGTATATAACCCATCTCTGTAACTTAAGGTAAATCACCTACAAAGTTACCTGTCTACCTGTATATAACCCATCTCTGTAACTTAAGGTAAATCACCTACAAAGTTACCTGTCTACCTGTATATAACCCATCTCTGTAACTTAAGGTAAATCACCTACAAAGTTACCTGTCTACCTGTATATAACCTATCTCTGTAACTTAAAGGCCATGTTTTTTTCACAGCTATAGATACTCTATTTACCTTCTAAGACCCTACTACACAGGTCACAGCTATAGATACTCTATTTACCTTCTAAGACCCTACTACACAGGTCACAGCTATAGATACTCTATTTACCTTCTAAGACCCTACTACACAGGTCACAGCTATATATATTCTATTTACCTTCTAAGACCCTACTACACAGGTCACAGCTATATATATTCTATTTACCTTCTAAGACCCTACTACACAGGTCACAGCTATAGATACTCTATTTACCTTCTAAGACCCTACTACACAGGTCACAGCTATAGATACTCTATTTACCTTCTAAGACCCTACTACACAGGTCACAGCTATATATACTCTATTTACCTTCTAAGATCCTACTACACAGGTCACAGCTATAGATACTCTATTTACCTTCTAAGACCCTACTACACAGGTCACAGCTATAGATACTCTATTTACCTTCTAAGACCCTACTACACAGGTCACAGCTATAGATACTCTATTTACCTTCTAAGACCCTACTACACAGGTCATGGCTATAGATACTCTATTTACCTTCTAAGGCCCTACTACACAGGTCACAGCTATAGATACTCTATTTACCTTCTAAGACCCTACTACACAGGTCACAGCTATAGATACTCTATTTACCTTCTAAGACCCTACTACACAGGTCACAGCTATAGATACTCTATTTACCTTCTAAGACCCTACTACACAGGTCACAGCTATAGATACTCTATTTACCTTCTAAGACCCTACTACACAGGTCACAGCTATAGATACTCTATTTACCTTCTAAGATCCTACTACACAGGTCACAGCTATAGATACTCTATTTACCTTCTAAGACCCTACTACACAGGTCATGGCTATAGATAATCTATTTACCGTCTAATACCTACTACACAGGTCACAGCTATAGATATTCTATTTACCTTCTAAGGCCCTACTACACAGGTCACAGCTATAGATATTCTATTTCTCTTCTAAGGCCCACTACACAGGTCATGGCTATAGATACTCTATTTACCTTCTAAGGCCCTACTACACAGGTCACAGCTATAGATACTCTATTTACCTTCTAAGGCCCTACTACACAGGTCACAGCTATAGATACTCTATTTACCTTCTAAGGCCCTACTACACAGGTCACAGCTATAGATACTCTATTTACCTTCTAAGACCCTACTACACAGGTCACAGCTATAGATACTCTATTTACCTTCTAAGACCCTACTACACAGGTCACAGCTATAGATACTCTATTTACCTTCTAAGACCCTACTACACAGGTCACAGCTATAGATACTCTATTTACCTTCTAAGATCCTACTACACAGGTCACAGCTATAGATACTCTATTTACCTTCTAAGACCCTACTACACAGGTCATGGCTATAGATACTCTATTTACCTTCTAAGACCCTACTACACAGATCACAGCTATAGATATTCTATTTACCTTCTAAGGCCCTACTACACAGGTCACAGCTATAGATATTCTATTTCTCTTCTAAGGCCCACTACACAGGTCATGGCTATAGATACTCTATTTACCTTCTAAGACCCTACTACACAGGTCACAGCTATAGATACTCTATTTACCTTCTAAGACCCTACTACACAGGTCACAGCTATAGATACTCTATTTACCTTCTAAGACCCTACTACACAGGTCACAGCTATAGATACTCTATTTACCTTCTAAGACCCTACTACACAGGTCACAGCTATAGATACTCTATTTACCTTCTAAGACCCTACTACACAGGTCACAGCTATAGATACTCTATTTACCTTCTAAGATCCTACTACACAGGTCACAGCTATAGATACTCTATTTCTCTTCTAAGACCCTACTACACAGGTCATGGCTATAGATATTCTATTTACCTTCTAAGACCCTACTACACAGGTCACAGCTATAGATACTCTATTTACCATCTAAGGCCCTACTACACAGGTCACAGCTATAGATACTCTATTTACCTTCTAAGACCCTACTACACAGGTCATGGCTATATTCATTTATAAACATTCAAAATTATTTTAAAGTGAAACTTACCTTCATATATAGTGTATTGTTTACATAATAATGTATGACAATGAAAAATAAAGTGTTTTTTTCTTCAAACATGGCTTTATATAGTAACATGAAGGACCTTGTCTCTAAACTAACTACATTTAATTGTTACTTGTAACTAAATTTGTTCACGGTATAAAAATTTAGTGACAGGTACACATGTGTGGAACAGAATACACATGTCATGTGTATGTGTGTAAATACCTGCATCAAAGTCAATCTTCCGATACCGATGAGATGTAGCATAGTAAATTATAAACACCTGTATAAGCATGTTCCTGATTATTTATTGATAGTAACAGCTGTACATCTATAATTGGATATTGTTCACTCACAATTACCTGATGACGGATTTACACCTGACATCACACTGAAGTTTTATACCTGACATCACAGTGAAGTTATACACCTGACATCACAGTGAAGTTATACACCTGACATCACAGTGAAGTTATACACCTGACATCACAGTGAAGTTATACACCTGACATCACAGTGAAGTTATACACCTGACATCACAGTGAAATTATACACCTGACATCGCAGTGAAATTATACACCTGACATCACACTGAAGTTATACATCTGACATCACAGTGAAATTATACACCTGGTCTTCTTTTGGTCAGGGACAGATTGGTGGACATTAAGAGGCCTGTGTTGGTCTTCTATATGTCAGGAATAGGTCGGTGAACATTAAGGGGTCTGTTCTGGCCATCTGTAGGTTAGGGACTTAGATAAGTAGATACTAAGGGGTCTGTTCTGGCTATCTGTAGGTTAGAGACTTAGATCAGTAGATACTAAGGGGCCTGTTCTGGCCAACTGTAGGTTAGGGACTTAGATCAGTATATAATAAGGGGTCTGTTCTGGCTATCTGTTGGTCAGGGACTTAGATCAGTAGATAATAAGGGGTCTGTTCTGGCTATCTGTAGGTTAGAGACTTAGATTAGTAGATACTAAGGGGCCTGTTATGGCTATCTGTTGGTCAGGGACTTAGATCAGTAGATACTAAGGGGTCTGTTCTGGCCATCTGTAGGTTAGGGACTATGATCAGTAGATACTAAGGGGCCTGTTCTTGCCATCTGTAGGTCAGGGACTTATATCAGTAGATACTAAGGGGTCGGTTCTGGCCATCTGTAGGTTAGGGACTTAGATTAGTAGATACTAAGGGGTCTGTTCTGGCCATCTGTAGGTCAGGGACGTAGATCAGTGGATACTAAGGGGCCTGTTCTTGCCAGCTGTGGGTCAGGGACGTAGATCAGTGGATACTAAGATGTATGTTTTGACCATCTGTAGGTTAGGGACTATGATCAGTAGATACTAAGGGGCCTGTTCTTGCCAGCTGTGGGTCAGGGACGTAGATCAGTGGATACTAAGATGTATGTTTTGACCATCTGTAGGTTAGGGACTATGATCAGTAGATACTAAGGGGCCTGTTCTTGCCAGCTGTGGGTCAGGGACGTAGATCAGTGGATACTAAGATGTATGTTTTGACCATCTGTAGGTTAGGGACTATGATCAGTAGATACTAAGGGGCCTGTTCTTGCCAGCTGTAGGTCAGGGACGTAGATCAGTGGATACTAAGATGTCTGTTTTGACCATCTGTAGGTTAGGGACTATGATCAGTAGATACTAAGATGTATGTTCTTGCCAGCTGTAGGTCAGGGACGTAGATCAGTGGATACTAAGATGTCTGTTTTGACCATCTGTAGGTTAGGGACTATGATCAGTAGATACTTAGGGGCCTGTTCTTGCCAGCTGTGGGTCAGGGACGTAGATCAGTGGATACTAAGATGTCTGTTTTGACCATCTGTAGGTTAGGGACTTAGATTAGTAGATACTAAGGGGCCTGTTCTTGCCAGCTGTAGGTCAGGGACGTAGATCAGTGGATAGTAAGATGTCTGTTTTGACCATCTGTAGGTTAGGGACTATGATCAGTAGATACTAAGGGTCTGTTCTGGCTATCTGTAGGTCAGGGACGTAGATCAGTGGATAGTAAGATGTATGTTCTGACCATCTGTAGGTCAGGCACGTAGATCAGTGGATACTAAGATGTCTGTTTTGACCATCTGTAGGTCAGGGACGTAGATCAGTGGATAGTAAGATGTATGTTCTGACCATCTGTAGGTCAGGGACGTAGATCAGTGGATACTAAGATGTCTGTTTTGACCATCTGTAGGTCAGGGACGTAGATCAGTGGATAGTAAGATGTCTGTTTTGACCATCTGTAGGTCAGGGACGTAGATCAGTGGATACTAAGATGTATGTTTTGACCATCTGTAGGTTAGGGACTATGATCAGTAGATACTAAGGGGCCTGTTCTTGCCAGCTGTAGGTCAGGGACGTAGATCAGTGGATAGTAAGATGTCTGTTTTGACCATCTGTAGGTTAGGGACTATGATCAGTAGATACTAAGGGGCCTGTTCTTGCCAGCTGTAGGTCAGAGACGTAGATCAGTGGATACTAAGATGTCTGTTTTGACCATCTGTAGGTTAGGGACTTAGATTAGTAGATACTAAGGGGCCTGTTCTTGCCAGCTGTAGGTCAGGGACGTAGATCAGTGGATAGTAAGATGTCTGTTTTGACCATCTGTAGGTTAGGGACTATGATCAGTAGATACTAAGGGTCTGTTCTGGCTATCTGTAGGTCAGGGACGTAGATCAGTGGATAGTAAGATGTATGTTCTGACCATCTGTAGGTCAGGCACGTAGATCAGTGGATACTAAGATGTCTGTTTTGACCATCTGTAGGTCAGGGACGTAGATCAGTGGATAGTAAGATGTATGTTCTGACCATCTGTAGGTCAGGGACGTAGATCAGTGGATACTAAGATGTCTGTTTTGACCATCTGTAGGTCAGGGACGTAGATCAGTGGATAGTAAGATGTCTGTTTTGACCATCTGTAGGTCAGGGACGTAGATCAGTGGATACTAAGATGTATGTTTTGACCATCTGTAGGTTAGGGACTATGATCAGTAGATACTAAGGGGCCTGTTCTTGCCAGCTGTAGGTCAGGGACGTAGATCAGTGGATAGTAAGATGTCTGTTTTGACCATCTGTAGGTTAGGGACTATGATCAGTAGATACTAAGGGGCCTGTTCTTGCCAGCTGTAGGTCAGAGACGTAGATCAGTGGATACTAAGATGTCTGTTTTGACCATCTGTAGGTTAGGGACTTAGATTAGTAGATACTAAGGGGCCTGTTCTGGCTATCTGTAGGTCAGGGACGTAGATCAGTGGATACTAAGATGTATGTTCTGACCATCTGTAGGTCAGGGACGCAGATCAGTGGATACTAAGATGTCTGTTTTGACCATCTGTAGGTCAGGGACTATGATCAGTAGATACTAAGGGGCCTGTTCTTGCCAGCTGTAGGTCAGGGACGTAGATCAGTGGATACTAAGATGTCTGTTTTGACCATCTGTAGGTTAGGGACTATGATCAGTAGATACTAAGGGGCCTGTTCTTGCCAGCTGTAGGTCAGGGACGTAGATCAGTGGATACTAAGATGTCTGTTCTGACCATCTGTAGGTCAGGGACGTAGATCAGTGGATAGTAAGATGTATGTTCTGACCATCTGTAGGTCAGGGACGTAGATCAGTGGATACTAAGATGTCTGTTTTGACCATCTTTAGGTCAGGGACGTAGATCAGTAGATACAAAGATGTCTGTTCTGACCATCTGTAGGTTAGGGACTATGATCAGTAGATACTAAGATGTATGTTCTGACCATCTGTAGGTTAGGGACGTAGATCAGTGGATAGTAAGATGTCTGTTTTGACCATCTGTAGGTTAGGGACGTAGATCAGTGGATAGTAAGATGTCTGTTTTGACCATCTGTAGGTTAGGGACGTAGATCAGTGGATAGTAAGATGTCTGTTTTGACCATCTGTAGGTCAGGGACGTAGATCAGTAGATACTAAGGGGTCTGTTCTGACCATCTGTAGGTTAGGGACTATGATCAGTAGATACTAAGATGTATGTTCTGACCATCTGTAGGTTAGGGACGTAGATCAGTGGATAGTAAGATGTCTGTTTTGACCATCTGTAGGTTAGGGACGTAGATCAGTGGATAGTAAGATGTCTGTTTTGACTATCTGTAGGTTAGGGACATAGATCAGTGGATACTAAGATGTATGTTCTGACCATCTGTAGGTTAGGGACGTAGATCAGTGGATACTAAGATGTATGTTCTGGCCATCTGTAGGTTAGGCTGCTGAAACAGCACTGATATCACCACCAAAGTGTAAATAAAGACGGCTGATAAACTTGGGCTACACAAACTATCATTTATCTTACAAATTACTGACATTGGACTCTCCTTACATTTAATATTGTAAGTAAACATGAAGAGTTGTGAGTGGTATCCAACAGTACTGTAGTCACCCAACTCCTCCTGCACTGTACTCACTCCATTAAAAAAAGGAACTACACCAACTTTAAAAATAAAATCCATTGTACTCATTCTAACAAAACTCAACTGTCCTCATAGCAATATGTCAGGTGTATAACTTCAGTGTGATGTCATGTATATAACTTCCTACATGAGTAGGCTTCTTAATGTACACATACCTTCTGTACCTGACTTACAGAGGACCAGAACAGGCGTGGTAATGTCCACTGACCTGACCTTCTGTACCTGACTTACAGAGGACCAGAACAGGTGTGGTAATGTCCACTGACCTTCTGTACCTGACCTACAGAGGACCAGAACAGGTGTGGTAATGTCCACTGACCTTCTGTACCTGACCTACAGAGGACCAGATTAGGTGTGGTAATGTCCACTGACCTTCTGTACCTGACCTACAGAGAACCAGAACAGGTGTGGTATTGTCCACTGACCTTCTGTACCTGACCTACAGAGGACCAGAACAGGTGTGGTAATGTCCACTGACCTTCTGTACCTGACCTACAGAGGACCAGAACAGGTGTGGTATTGTCCACTGACCTTCTGTACCTGACATACAGAGGACCAGAACAGGTGTGGTAATGTCCACTGACCTTCTGTACCTGACCTACAGAGGACTAGCTAAGACAGGCCTCATAATGTCCACTGACCTTCTGTACCTGACCTACAGAGGACTAGCTAAGACAGGCCTCATTATGTCCACTGCTATTATATCCAGCTATTTTATTGAAGTTCATATCTAGATTCCATTATCTTAACTATGATACATTTAAGATTTTCAAAATATGTTAAAAACTAAAAATGAATACAAATTATTCTGTATGCTAACAAGGCTTTTGTGATTATATAGAAAGGACTTTACTTGAGATAATAATCTACAAAGAAGGTCAGAAAAAGCTAACCATTCATAGATCACTTTTATCCATGTAGTGTTTCCTTATCTTAGCTACAGAAACAGTTAGAATCAATGAACTGGCTGGAAGATAAACTCACTGGGATATACATATATGATAATGTGGGATGTATTGATAGGGGAAGGTCACACACTGTTGGCATCTGCAGCTGATACGTATATACAAGTTCTGCATCCCACTTTCTGTATAACATCTCTGATTTGAGTATTAGTGCTGTTAAACAGTAGACTGATCTGGATTGTTATACTACTGTAGAATGCTGCTAAACATCCAAACATGCTTGAGATTTGGACTTATGACATTTTGGATTTTCTGTATTAGAAGAAGGAGTGTTAACAAGTGTTATTTCATGTTGGTATCTTCCAAGGTTGTGAGTGTGTTCAATAAAGTTTAGAAACAGAGGTCAGCAATCTGTAAAGTTTATTGATCAAACTCCTAAACATGGATATCAGTAGAAAATTATTAACATAGATTGTTTTATGGATTAAGGGTACTTTTCTGGTTGATGAGAAACATAATCAAAGGCTGATGGCAGTTATAGTTATATGAATCACTGAACTGATGGAAGGAATGACCTCTGATTGACCTTCACCCCTGAAACCTTTTTTGTTGTACAGGATAAGGTACGGGATTGGGAACAGTATGAGACCCAGAAGGGACAGATGATTCAGTACCTTAAGAAAGCTGAGGCAGAGCTAGAGAAACCTCCAGCCACTAATGGACAAGAAATTGCCCAGAAGGACCTCAACTCAAAGAAGGTAGCATGAAATAGACATCAGTAGCTATGGAATGTCACATTTCAGAAATTACGATGATATTGCTACAATAAATTTTTGATCTGTGTGAAATATGTGGTAAACGCTTTGAAAACAACATATACATATGTGTCACATAAGTTATAAATTCCATCTTGTCTTAACCTGAAGCATTTTGAAATCGGCGTAAGAATTGAGGAATGTCATAAAAGTCTAGATTACAACTTTGTTAGAGTCTTGTTTACCTGATTTTTACAGGAACTTAAAAATGCACTGAGCAGACTCAAGGGAAACATCTCAGAGATGCAGAAACTCAACGCTGCCCTCAGTGAAAGTGCCAGTCGTGAGAGACGGGGCCCACTGAAAGGGGAGCTCACCGATATTGACAAACGCCTAGAAAATGTCTCTGTGAGACTCAACGCAAAATTGGCTGACCTGGAGGCAACTATTGCTAAGTGGACAGAGTACTACAAACGCCTGAACCACTTCTGTGATTGGCTGAATGAGAAGGAGGCTAAACTCAATGAAGTATATGAAAATAAATCTGATGCACCTGAAGAACAACTTAGCAAATCAAAGGTAGGGTTCTCAGCAAACCTAAAGTAAGGATGATAACTGATGATAACTGCTCTCAACTGATGATATGAGAGTATTAGAATGTGTTAAAAATGTATGTACATTTTGGTCTGTAGAAGAATGAAATACTTTGGATATGATTTGTGATATGTGTGTTATAATCGTATAAAATATTGACTTACAGGCAATTGCATCTGAAGTTTATGAGAATCATATTACCTTGGAAACATTAGAAAAGGATGCTAAAGGGATGTCACAGAACTTCCGTTCACGAGAAACTGCAGCACTGCGGACAAAACTAGCTAGTATCCGCCGACAGTGGGAAAGCTTGTGTTCACGTGCCAAGGACCGCAGCTCAGCACTGACAGGAAGCGTGGCTCACTGGCAGACACACCAGAACCTGTCACAGCACCTGATGCCCTGGATAGTGAAGGCAGAGAAATACTGTGCCACTGAACTGCCCAAATGTTCGTCCCTAGATGAGGCCCGTGACCTTCACGACCTTCATCAGGTAATAACATATGTATGAGCAACCCATAATGTTTTTACTTTATCTATGTTGAAAACTACCTAAAACTATGAAAGTTTACATCTTTGATCACAGTGATCTGTTAATACTAGTGACTACTGAGATACACTTAACTTTCTGATGAATATTATTGATAAGAAACATAAGCTCCTGCGATGTTTTCTTTGTCCTCTATTTATTTTCTGACAATTTTTTGTGTGCAGTCCTTCCTACATGAATGTGAGGAACAGTTCCCCGTGTTTGAAAAGATGAATACAGAAGCAGGCTATCTCATGGATCAGCCAAACATGGCTAAAGATATGGAAACACTCCAAAAACGCTGGAATGACATCATCAGTGCTTCAGAGGAGCGAAGCCACAAAGTTGACAAGATGCATGGAGCATGGACTGCTTATGACCAAGAACTCAACAACTTTGATGAAGTTCTTGAGAAGTTACAGACCCGACTTGCACAAGAACCTAATGTCAGCTCTACAGATGTACAAGTTCTCGAGCATGAACTTGCGATTTGTAAGGTAAGAAAATTCATGCTGGAGTACATATGAAGTAAACCATTCAAACTGCTGTTAAGATTGGGACTAATCCTTAAGCTTGTTAAATTTTTTTTTGAATGCATGATTCATAATTCTTTACTTTGTTTCCAACAGACCCTGCAGGAGGAGATTCGTGGACAGCAGCCACATCTTACTGCGTTACAGCGACAGTTTGAACAGGTGAAACAGCATGCCACTCCAGATGGTGTTAAGTCTCTTAAGTCAAAGCATGATGCTGTGAAAGGTGCATATGAAAAGATCTCTGAGGATGCCAGTGAGAGACAGGCCATGTTGAATGCAGCGCTGCGTCACAGACAGGACTTCTACAGTCAATTACAGGACTTTGAGAAGTGGATGAAGCGGACACAACGAAAACTGGACACTGGGAATGAAATCTACTCAGATGAGGTTTCAGAAACACAATCGAAACTAAAGGTTAGTTTTGTCAGACAGAAAAGGTTAGAATAGATATAAGATGATATGTTACTGAATAAAACACACTATGTTATTGTTTCTGGTCTGTCAGTGTATAGTGAGGCGGAATCAATATATCTTAACGTTCTTAGGGTTTATGAAATTTTGAGTGATGAAATCTTCCATCAGATATTGGATGTACCTGTAGCATATACATCTGAAGACTTACTGAATGACATTGTCCTTCATTAAGAGTCACATAGATATTAGCAACAGATAAGCAATGTTGTTTTGGCATTGCTACTTGACTTTGCTCTTTTAAACCTCTTATTATAGCTCTTTTTGATCTCTAATGTGAGCTCTTGTGGACCTCTCAAAGTTCTAGCTACCTACGGTATACCTTAAAGTCATAATGTGTCCACTAAAAATACCATCAATATGGCAGGTCTTTGAATAAGTCATTTCTTTTAGAGAAAAGGAAAGTCCTGAAATTGTAATGTCTTTGTTGACAGGCTCTAAAGGCTGAGTGTGTCAATCAAGAGCCGACCTTCACCACTCTCTCCCAGGAATTCAAGGACTTGATGAAAGGTTGTAATGAGGACGAGGCAGCCATTCTCAGTGATCGATTTGACCACATAATAGCTGGATACACAAAGATTGAGGACTTGATCAAGAACAGAGAGGAACTATGTGATAACTGGTCAAGTTACGCAACTGACCATAAGGACACACAGAATCGCCTCAAGGTTCTGCAAGCCAAGCTAGCATCACCAGACATTACAGAGGATGAAGTGACCAGGATTAACAGAGAGGTCGATGGACTCTGGCGTAGCATGGGACCTTGGGCTCAGAAGGCTGAGAAACTTGATGATCTGATGGCAGCATCACAGATGACTATCAAAGATCGTGCAACACAGCGGACTTTACACTTCGGCACGGAGGTTCAGGCAATTGAGGGCATGTGTGGTAATGTGTCTACAAATGCCAAGCAGAAAGAGGATCACCTGGGCGAACTGACACAACTATGGGAGGACTTCACAGACAAGAAAGAAGGACTTGTTGATAAATTACATGCACTTGCTCAGAAGATTGACGGTGCTACTGTAGAGACCTCTAGTCTCCAGGGCATCAAGGACTTGGTGCGAGAAATTGAGGTAGAGTCAACAAAAGCATTTTCATGGTTAAATGAATGAAATTGATCATAATCTTTTATTGAAGTTATTCTATAAACAGGTGATACTTGTTTTTTAATATAAGCGATGCTTTAAGACCTTTTCAAAAATTTTCTTCAGGATGCAAGGGATGACTTATTCACATACAACCCTGAGTATGAACAACTACGTGAGCTTGGTCGACAGATCATGCAGGCAGATATCAGTAAAGGTACCCCTGTTCAGGCTAACTTGTCCGAGGTTAACATGGCATGGGACCAGATCCAAGCTCTACTCGCCCAGAAACACCAAACATTCTCCGGAGCAGCAAACCTATGGCAGCAATACAATGATGCCAAACAAGGTGTGGCACGTGTTATGGAGGATATAGAACCTGTCACCTCACAGGATATTACATTTACTACCCAGGCAGAGGTGAAAAAGTCTCTCGACCAACACAAGGTAAGCTGGTGTAGAGATGTACAACTTTTACTCTTTTATATCAAAACTTGAATAGATGTCAAGTTTGAAAGGAAGTGATGATTAAAAAAGCATATTGACCAACCAGAAATATTTAATTTTCATCAATTTCTCTGTGCTTACAGAATGCAGAATTTGAACTTCATGCAAACCAGTCTCAACTGGACCAGATGAACAACCGTGGCCTACAGCTGCTGGAGGAACTAAAGAATTTGCCAAACTTCAATGTGGCTGTGCTAGAACAGGACATGGACCAGGTCAACCATAAGTGGGAGACTGCCAATTCTGTATGTATTCTAGTAAAAACCTCACACCCCGTTTCTGTATGTATTCTAGTAAAAACCCCACACCATATTTCTGTATGTATTCTAGTAAAAACCTCACACCCCGTTTCTGTATGTATTCTAGTAAAAAACCTCACACCCCGTTTCTGTATGTATTCTAGTAAAAACCTCACACCCCATTTCTGTATGTATTCCAGTTAAAAAACTTACACCCCGTTTCTGTATGTATTCTAGTAAAAACCTCACACCTCGTTTCTGTATGCATTCTAGTAAACATCTCATATCTCCTTTCTTAATAAACGTCACAGAAGTGGTGTTTCTTAAAATTCTGAGACACAGGCCCATTGGTCCTCTTATTTATCTGAAAACAAACCTTGAATATCTGATAAATCCTATAAGTTTTTGAGTACAAGTATTATAGGATAATTCCCCTTAATTACAGGATGTTGAAAGTCACAAGGAGAATCTCGAGGCTCAGCTTGTCTGTTGGGAACAAGTACAGACTGGTAAAGAAGAGGTTGAGTCTTGGGTCAACGCTATGGTTACCAAACTGGACGACAGCCTCAAACATTTTGATGACGCTGTCAGTGTGGAATCTTGTCTAATGAAATACAAGGTAATTTGAGAGATTTGATCCGACATGGATTGCAGTTTCAAAGTTTGAAGGTTTAAATAGACTTTTCTAAAGAATCTTTTGTTAATGTGAAATAAGTTTGTAATGTGAAATGCACCAGGATAAAGTTGTTTATATCAGATTATTAAAATCAGAAATATATATCAGAATAATGAAGACAAATTTCATGGTTCAAGAAAGTGAAGAAGTTTTAGTAAAATCTATTCAAAATGCATTCTTTCTGTAGGTCAGCTTCATTGCTAGAATTATTTGATTCAAAATTCATGAATTCCATGTGTGTGTTTTAGGAGGAGGCTCCTTATTTCCAAGAAGTGTTTGCAGAGCTACAACAGAAGGTTCAGGACTTAACTGAGTTAAACAAGGACCATGAGATTCCAGAGCTTGTCAATCAGCAAGAGGCTATAGAGGACCAGATACAGAAGGCTACAAACATGGCCAACAAGCTGGAGAACATCATGAGCAACTTCTCAGACGAGCGTGGTACTCTAGAGAAGGAGGTTGAAAAGGAGGTCAAATTTGTCAACAAGATCAAAGACAAGCTGGCCAAATGTGACGATGTTTCTGGAACTGATGAAGACCTTGTTAAGAGGCTGAAGACATGTAGGGTGAGCATTTACAAATCATACTACTGCTAGTACTAGCTCAGAAATACCTCTATTGACTACCATTTAGTTCTGACTTGGGAAAGGACAAAGTATATATACAGTTACTTGCATATTTGGTTTTCTAGTCTATAGTGAGAAGCTTCTGTCAGTGATATCTCATGAACTTCTCAGTTCCTGGGAAACAGGGAACAAACTTCTTGAAATATCAGCTATTAATCATAATACCAATCCTAACAAAATACTAATGGTCGAAATTCTGAAAGTCACAGAAGTGAAGAAAGTCTCTATTGGGAAACCATGATTGTCAAACTCATGTTTTTAATTTCTTTGAAGGAACTACAAGCAGAAATGGACAGTCACAGGAAGAACATCAAAGATTTACAAGAAAAATCAAATGCACTTCAAGCTAAATATCCTTCAGCAGAAACGAGTAATCTCGCCAAAGATGCGATAGTGCTTACCAAGAAATTTGAAGCTTCTCGGAATCGGGCAGACAAGATTGAGGACACCCTGGAAAGCTCACTAGAACAGCACTGCCAGGACGCCCAGTTACAACAGCAGCGCTGGCTCACTGCTGCCAAGGAGAAGGTGGCCTGGTGTGGAGACATTGCTGGTGATCGTTACAGTGTGGAGGCCAAGCTCGGCACCATCAAGGTAAGGCATTGATTTTGCCTGACACAATAATGATCTGTTAGGAAAAAATTATGGTTCTGAGTTAAATGGTAGAAAGAGTCTATGTTGAAGAAACGAGACTACTTTACAGAATTTTTCTTTGCCGTGAAATTTATAACAGAAAAGGCAGCAATATTTGTACAACCTACCATTGACATTTTCTTTCTTGCCATGTGATTTTGAACTTTAGGATTGATGAAGTGGATTTTTTTTTTTAAGGAACTCATGGCAAATGCCAAGGAAGGAGAGAAGAAGAAATCATTGGCTGCCTCAAAGATTGATATGGTCAAGACTGTCCTGCCCAAGGAGAAACAAGGAGAGCTTGATAGACAGAAGAAAGCAGCAGAGAAAGACTGGGCAGATCTCGTCAGTCAGATGGACAGCACACAGTAGGTTTTCATAACTTTATAAAAAAAGTAAACATTTTACTTGAAGCAATTAAGGTAAACGTTTTGTCATTAAAAACTTCTCAGGGCTTGTGTAGCGTCTTCTTAACAAGTCAGATATTTTTAAAATTAAGAAATTATTCGTTGAATAAAATTTAAAACAGATGACTTCACTTACATTCCAGACACAAACTGGAGAGTTCCATTGACCAATGGATGCAGTATGATAATAAGTATGAAGGCCTGTCCCAGTGGCTGAAGGCCACCGAGGCGAAAGTTCGTAATGAAGCGAGTCTAAAACCGGATTTACAGAACAAGATGGACCAATTGGATCTCTTTAATGTAAGTTTGAATCTTTATGAAAAATAAACGGTGAGTACGGTGATGTCATTTTTTATAAACTATCATATATAGATTGAAATAATGAATTTAGGCTTTGAATGATCATTTAAATCATTAAAAATTGGTTAAGTCCGTACCTTCGAAGGGATGCAAACACGGACTGACTTGTTTGTCAAATGAGGTCATGTAGTACATTTAGTTTTGCATTGGCTTCTCTGAAATTTTTGAAGAATTTTAACCAAATACTCACAAAAGGAACCGGAGAAGATAATCTGTGCTTGAGGAAGGTTAACTCTTGACAAAGCTACCGGAGCTTTAGAGGTCACAGATTTAAGATCATCTGTTAAGAGGTCTTACAGTAGATGATGCTAACATTTCAATAAGAATGTTTGTGTAAGACTGACTGATAGTGTAGTATATCTTACCCATTTTAAGAATTTTGATGAAGTATCAAATGGTATTTTCATTACAGGAAATGGAACAAGAGGTTCTCTCCCATCGTCCTCAGTTTGAAGCATTGAAGGATTCTGCCCAGGAAATCTCACGATCAACTGGAGATGGACGCACTGCATCCTATGCTGGACAACTATACACACGATATCAGTCTTTGTCCGCCTCCGTAAAGGTAGAATCTGTTTAATGATAGCACTAACGATTTATTGAGTGTTAGAGTGTAGGAGCATCAGGTTATGTTTAATTTACTACAATTTTGTAGATTATAATTAATTGCTGTCCCATGATATTATCAGATATTTTTTTACATGGTATCATTTCTAATTAAAAGTTTTAAAATCAAATATATCTGCTGCACTGAGTAGACATGTATCATTAAAGCTACAATGTAAGTAGAGGTAGTATACACTTTCTAGCTAACCAACATTGTGAATATTTCCTCTACAGGAACAAGTCGAGAAGTGTGAGGAAAATGTAGATGACCACAATAGTTACCTACAGCGACACAAAGCATGTGTTGAGTGGTTAAAATCAGCCAAAGAAAACCTGGAGGATTGTACCAATCTGGCTGACGATCCACAGTCTCTACAGGCCAAGATTGACACTGTCGAGGTAACAGAATAACTTTGTGTGTTCATAAATATCTACAGAACCCTTTCATATGGTAGCATGTACATGTATTTAGTATACAGACTGGGGAACTACATATTATACTGACAGGGAAATTGTTTAACGTACAGAAAGTATTTTATATATAGACTGGAGAACAATGTAATATACTGACAGGAAAACACTTTATATATATATATATAGACAAGGGATCTGTTTAGTATACAGGCAGGAGAGTTCTTTCCTATACAGACAGGAGAATTCTTATGCAGGAATATTCCTAGATAAGCTTTTGAACATGACACTTACTTAAAAGTGGATTACACATTAATATATTTTACAGCTTTTAACAATAAAGTTGTGAGTAGAGAAGAACTTATTTAATTTGCAGTGTTTGGTGAAACCCTTTTGTATTCAGCAGAAATCATTAGTATATATTAGAGTTCATTAGGATGTAGAACTTGGAAACTTAGAAATGTTCCAAAGTGTTCATTATCACCTACAATATTGTCGTTATAGTGGGAGTACTTACTCAGTGTTATGATGGTGGAAGGAATGGTTTCTTTTGATCAATTGTCTTGAAACTACCAATATCGTTATACATGCATGGTTTCTAAAATAGCAAAGGCTTATGCACTGCTGAAAGATTCTTTGGTATGAAATAGAATTCTCTGTTCTAAGATATATTTCAAAATTGTGCATGTGAATTAATTGATATCAAGGTATGTCAATCTGCAGGCAAATGCTTGAATATATATTTTAATCTGCCTGAGAACTTGATGTATGTATCAATTATTCTGCTTCAGTGAATGATACATTAACTTCAGCTACCTGAAATCTGTGTTCTGCCAATATTTGACTGACACAATCAATAGTTAATATGAAATATGTGGAATGCATTCAAACAATATGGCATGTGCTTGATGTTTTGTTTACAGGAACTGCTAGAAAACAAGGAACAAGGCCTTGGCAGATTTAACTCCGCTTTAGAATCTGGAGAGAAACTCTACCCAAACACATCCAATGATGGACGGGAGGGTATTCGCCGTGAACTACGATCTCTTCGTGAGATGTGGGAGTCTTTTAACGATGGTCTTATTGATACTCAACGTCAACTGGAGAGTAGCCGCATGCAGTGGTCAACATTTGATGACAATTATGACCAATTGTCTAAGTGGGTGTCAGACATGGAGGGTCAGATAGAGGATGACCAGGATCTGTGTAATTCCCTACAGGAGAAGAAAGCCATGCTGCAGCATTACCGGGTATATTGAAGGCTTGGTTTACCTGCTAACAACACCAACATCAGTTACCAGGAGCTTTTTCTTTTTGTATTTGTTTGGTTTTCAAACTCTAGAATAAAAAAAAAAAGCTTTTTTTTTCTAACTGACTAACTATGTGTTTGTTTGCATGTCAAACCAAGGCTTGAATGTCATCATGTAATGCTGACTTGCGTTTTCTATGATTGCCATGATAATACTGTCTTTGTAGTCTGTGACTTGGTGTTGAGTAGGTTTGACACCTAGAGTTGACATCATACTAGAAATATTAGTAATTTATAAGGAGTTTTTAACATAGAATGACACATTTAGTGTTCTATAAGATGAGATGCTGAAGTAAAACTTATTTACTTGTCTGTAGCGCATGACACTTTAAATGCTGCATGATCTGTAGTGATTTGAAAGGAAAATAAATCAAAACTAACTCTTACTTGTTGCTATGGTGAGACGATTTAGTATTTTTTGTTTCCTTTTTGGTCTGTTGGTTTAAAGTACAGTACAGCGTCCATCTGTCCATCACTCTGTTGTTTTTTTAACATCTTACATGTCATAAATTCTATTTGTAATAGTAAGGAGAGGGCTATCATGGGCTCTACCTGTTGCTCTTTTCCTATTGTGAGTAAAATCATGACAAGAAAATATCCTGCAATAGAATTATGAAGATGTGAGCTACATCAGGATATCATCCTAAAACAGATCTGTTGGATGATTTCATGGATTAATGATATAGTGGTGACTTCTTTAAGATGATAGCTGCATTAGGAACTTGAAGTAATCTTATTTCACCTTTTGACCCCTTTCACATAGACCCGTTGCCAAGACATCATGTCACATCAGACGATGATTGACAGCATCAGTGATAAAGGGACAGCACTCTCATCAACACAAGCCAAGAGCAAGCTGAATCAGCTCCACAACCGTTATCGCACACTTTGTGGTAGTGCACAGGTATAATGCTATTTTCACCAGTAAAACTTTGTCAAGGAGTCTACAGTAATCACATTGTCTTTTTCTGGCAGTGAAAGTGATGTCAATGAATCTTATGAAGGTAATGTAATGATTAATGTTGTTTTGATAAAAAATATTTATTTTGGGTTTTTCTCGTATTATTTTAGACCAAGTTGAAGATTACTGATGGTTTCATACAGACAGCAATATTTTCTTTGTCCATATTTTAACATTGTAGGCCCAGATGAAGTCTACTGAGGTTTTGTTTACCATGTCATTATTGTGACTATGTAGGCCTTGGTGAAGACTGCTGAGGGCTTCAAGGACTAACAACAGTGTTTATTTTGTGTTTAAAAAGTTACCTTTTTTTCCCAAGTGAAGACTTCTAAGGGCTTTGTAGACCAACAGCAATATTTATTTTTTGTCTAACTTGTGACATTTTAGGCCCAGGTAAAGACTGCTGAGGGCTTCGTTGACCAACACCAGGTATACCAGGACAGCTACCAGCAGTGTCGGGACACCATGGCGATGATTAAGGACAAGCTTGCCGTCTGCTCAGAGACCACTGGTGATCGACAGGCACTACAGAATAGGCTGGATAGAGTACAGGTCAGTGAACAACCTTCCTCTAGGTGTGGTGAAAAAAAAATTCTTGATTCTTAAGTGACATATTTATAAAAAGCATCTAGTTGTCACAATCTGAACCATATCAAAATTTCAGTATGGCAGCAGGTGACTTTTTTTTCAATATCAATCTTTAGTATATATCTCCATGAAACTGTGAGGATATATACAAGTGATTTGTACTTATTGACCTTTCATATGCTTGCATATCACTCAGTCACACAATACATGCCTCAGTCTGACTTTCACTCCTTTTAAATAAGTAAGTGAGATTTTTTGGTCACCAGTGACAAAGTCTCAAGTGACATAGTGATCATCTTTTGTCCTGCATTGTGCTTCGTAAACAATTTACATTTTCAACTTCTTCTCAATAACCAAAAAGCCCAGGGGTCATGGTAATGAGCCAGTAGCAAGCTGGGATGAAGGCTACTAAATTGGTTCAAATGAATGACCTTGACTTATTTTCAAGGTCACAGATGTCAAATGTGTCACAATCTATTTCAAAAATCTTCTTCTTAACACCTTGATATGGTAAAATCAAGTGCTCTTCATGGATGGAAGCATCTTAAGGTGTTTTACCAAATTTGTGAATTTCATGGCCAGAGGGTCTCACATTTTCCCGTGGGGAGGGAGTAAAGTTTACTATAATTTATATAGGAAAACTATATTTTTGAGCAAAATTTGTTTTAATTCTATTGGAAATATTTCAAACTTGGTTAGAATTATGAGCAAAGGATGACGGCTAAATGGTATACCCATATTGATCCTGAATGACCCCCAGGGGCAAATCAGTGGAGGCCAAAGGGGTCATAATGACTTCGATTTCAAAAATCTTCTTCTCAATGCCCATGTATTGTAGAATCAAATGCTTTTCATGGTTGAAAGCATCTTAAGGTCTTTATTGAATTCCAAAATGGGTCTTTCTTCATGGAAGAGGGTTAACTTTACTGTAATTTTTAGTAAAGAATTGTATTTTTGAGCATAAAGGTTGTTTATTATGGCCCTGTACCAAAGTGCTGGTACCCTATAGTAATCACCATGTCCATCCGTCTGTCTGTCTCCATAACAGGGGTGGGGGGTGGGGGGTGGGGGGGAGTTCCAGGGGGGTGGGGGGGGAGTTCCAGTCACTGCAGGGATCATGCTGACCTGTCCATATTCTTGTTTCCAGCTGGAAATAACTTTGTAAGAATAATTAGTATGACAGTTTTGGTATGCATGTATTGACCTTGGCTTACTGTTATCAATGTCACAATTTCTTTTTCATGACACTTGAAAGCTTTTTACCCTTTCAACTTTATATTCAATGTTGCTGAGTTGACTGTCAAGGCCGCTAGGCCTCTTGTTGTTGTAGACATGGAAATATGATTTCAAATTATGATGATTAATGAATTAAGACATAAACTTTTTATCACAGGATCTGATGACTTCTCTCCGTGATGGTGAGAAAAAGGTCAAGGCCACACATATGCAGGGTGAGAAGTCAATGCCCCAGACAGGTAAACTGGGTCAGGCAACAATCCAAGCAGAACTAGAAGCACTGACTACTGACTGGGAAGGCGTGGTGTCACGTTTGGGAGATACTCAGCAGAGCTTAACTCATGCTATCCAGGCCATGCAGAGTTACGACAGCTCATGTGAGTCACTCAACAGGTGGCTCCGTGATGTTGAGGTACAGATAAAAGACCATGACCTCAAACCATCACTCACCGAGAAGCATGCTCAGGTGGACAAGTTCAAGGTCAGTATATGTTTATAAAAGTAATTAAACAATGTTTATTACATTGGTGCATTTATCATTTTCTAATTTGATAAATGCTCTTCATCATACAACAAACAGGATTTCATTATAACTTTTTCTTAAAATCAGGGAGCAGTTCGTTGGTTCTTCTGATGTTTTTTTGTGTAGACTTTAATCTATGTCATGTTATATATTGTGTGTACAGACTCTACAAGCAGACGTACAATCAAAGCAGCCACAGTTTGATGAACTGTCCAACATGGCATCCCAAGTACAAGGCGCAGACACGCGACTGGTCAACTTCAGCACCCAGCTTGGGACACGATACCAGACTGCAAAAACCAACTTAAGGGTAGGTTTACGTTGGCACTGGTTACTCAGTGTAGAAATGGTGATCCAGATAGATTTAGTGAAAATTGTATCAGGCTAAATGTTGTTAACAGGATATGATTTATTTATAAACTGAACTAATGTTGTTAACAGGATATGATTTATTTATAAACTGAACTAATGTTGTTAACAGGATATGATTTATTTATGAAATGAACTAATTTTATCAACAGGATATGATAATGCGACAGCAGGAAAATGCCAGAGAACATGAAGCTTACCAAGAAAACTTTGCAGAGTGTTCTGAGTGGGTTGACACGCTTCATAAACGTCTGCAAGTTTGTGCAGATGTCGCTGGTGATAAACATGATGTGGAAGACAGACTTGCTAAATTGCAGGTAGATAAAGTGATGTATTGTCTTACGTTGGTGTAAAGGAAGAGGACCATAATTTCTGTTATGTTATTATTATCTTTTGAGGGAGAAAGCAGACACATGTATTTATGTTTATGATAATATTAGTTTTAGAGGGCTGTATAGGAAGTTAATGAAATCAAAATTAAGATGAAAACGAGATATTGCCTTTCTAGTCTTATTATAAAGAAGTACCTCTGTGTGAAAAAAAATCCCCAAAATCAATCTAGAACTATCTAAAGATTGTCATGGTTTCCTCTGCTTCTATAGGAACTCATGGTAGAAAAAGAGCAGGGAGCTGCCAAGATCCACTACACTGTTGAATGTGGTGAGAAATTGTACCCAAGCACTGCGTCTGAAGGGCGTGACGTCATACGCCAGGAGCTGCGAGGACTCCGCGACCAGTGGGAACAGGTCTGTGACACACTGTCTGACACACAACGCAAGCTTGACACTTGTCTCCTGCAGTGGTCCTCATATGACGAGAACTTTGAACAGTTCCAAAAATGGCTTCTGGATACAGAGATACAGTTGAGAGAGGATACAGACTTACGAGCTACATTGCCAGACAAGCGGGCACAGCTCCAGAATCACAGGGTACGTCAGCATATTTAAACATAATCTGTTGTCTACATCACAACCATTTCATCATCTCTTGCTGATTGCTGTGTATTTACTTTTTGGTGTAAAACAGTGTTTTTGCCTTCAGGTGTTTCATCGTGAAGCTGTTATTTTCCTGCTGGTCTAATTAAAGGATGATTTTCAGATGTTACTGTTAGACTAATACTTTGGATTTCCAACAGGTTCTTCACCAAGATATAATGTCCCGTCAGCATGTCATGGACAACTTGTCGGAGAAAGCTTCAAAGCTGTCCCATTCCACACCATCGACCAAGGTGGGCAAGTTTGTGGATGAGTTACACAGAAAATATGAGAAGCTGTGTGGCGAGTCGAAGGAGCACCTGGGGGAGCTGGAGACTGGAGTGAAGGACCACCAGATGTACCAGGACACTTATCAGGACTGTCAGGACTGGCTCAACTCTTCACGCGAGAAAGTTGAGGCCTGCTCAGACACTTCTGGGGACAAGATGTCAATTCAGCATAAACTTGACAGGCTTAAGGTACAGTCGTACTGTCATATTTTGATGTTAAATTTTCAGGATTTCTTTATTTAACCTAAATGTTACATATGTATTGTGTTTTTTTTAGCACTAAATTTATTTTTGATGTATCTACTGTTGATTTTACATGTTATTTATATTATTCCCAGGAGTTTTCTGAGAAAGTTGAAGATGGTAATCACAAACTTAAAGCTACCAAGGAACTATGTGAGAAAACAGCACGGAAGACAAGCCAGCCTGGCCGTGAGGTACTGCGCCGTGAAGTGGACCATATCCAGGGAGACTGGGAGGATTACCTCGCTCTCATGTCGCAGGCTGAGGAGGATTTAGGCAACGCTCTTGTACAGTGGGGTGACTTTGAGGGCAAGTTTGGTGCATGTAATGCATGGCTCAAGGACATTGAACTGCAGGTCAAAAACTATGAGCTAAAGTCTACACTGAAAGAGAAACAAGCACAAGTGGAGAAGTTCAAGGTATGTAGTTTTTAAAAAGAGAGTGTCTGAAAAGCTCATTTATGATAATAAAAACAACTTTCAGATTGATATTTTAAAGGCGAGGTTTCATTAAAGCAAAAAATTCACAACAGCAAATACTTCTTATGTGGAATATGTAACTATGTAAGTGAGAACTCCTGTTAAAATGATAATAGATTCTTAGATGTATTACCTGAACACATTGGTGCTGTTACAGAGACAACGTGAGGAGATCCTCACCCACCAACCTGAGATTGATCGCTTCACTGATGATGCTCAGAACCTGATGCATACTAGTGCAGATGCAAGACTTAGTACTCAAGTATCTCAACTGACCAATCGGTACAGAGGCCTTCTCTCACTGGTCAAGGTAAGTTAACACAACTGTTCAATTGATACAAAGTTCTTCTTTCACTTGTCAGGGTTAGATACACAGCTGTACTCACTGAAGTCAGTGCTTAAACTAGTGAGCATTTGACCTTTGACCTTTGACCTTTACAGGAGCTCGCTGTAGTCACTACTGTAATTGTTGAGTGTGTGACCATTGAACTTAACAGGATCTCTGTGTTGAGAGTACTCTTGCTACTGTTGATTACGTAACCTTTGACCTTTACAGGATCTCATCACAAAGTGGGAGAAGTATGTACAGGATCATCAAGGCTACGACAATCGTCACCAGGAATTCAAGACCTGGCTTACACAAGCAACAGAGAAACTTGATGCCTGTCAACGTCCAGCAGCTGACCAAGATTCGATGGAGGAGAGACGGGTCATGATCCAGGTATGTAACACTTCAAACCATTCAGGAGTATCGGAATACTAACATTTCCAGTAGGAACTTTCACAGTAAATGTTCTGGGATTTACTAAAGTATGATAAAATCACAACACTACGGTAACAGTACTAGCTCCACTTACCACAGAAGCATTTAACACTGCAAAATTTTTATTTCTAGATGTTGTTAGCGGAGAAGGACCATGGTCTTCAGAGACTGAACTCTACCATAGAATCTGGAGAACGTCTTTATCCAGACACAGCCTCTACGGGACGAGAGAAAGTTCGTCAGGAATTACGCCTTGCCAAAGATGAATGGGATAGGCTGTTCAATAATCTTAATGATGCCCAGCGTCGTGTGGAATCCTACATGATGCAGTGGACCTCATATGCTGACGGACAGGACCAACTCCTCCGATGGATGCTGGACACGGAGACAGCATTATCATCTGATGTTGACCTTAAAAACACATTACAGGAAAAGCGCACCAAACTTCAGACTGTCCGGGTAGGTGTTAAAAACTCATCAATTACTCAGGAATATTTTTTTTGTTCCTTCTTTGTATGCAAGAAAAATTTTTGTTTTTTTTCTATTTCACAACACAAATATTGTGTTTGTAGGCCCTTCTGCAGGATATTTTGTCTCACCAACGTCTTGTTGACTCAGTGATAGAGAAGGCACAGGGCGTTCTCCAGAGCACATCCAATCCGGAAGTGAAGACATTCATCACGGATATCAACTCCCGTTATGAGAACCTCACCACATCCTCAAAGGTATATACTTTCAGCTAGACAGCTAACGGTGTAAATCTCATCAGTAATGATGGTGAAATATTAGGCTGGAGGGAATGCTTACTATGTATCACTGTCATGTTATCTAACATTGTCAATGGATTTCATTACTATATTAAATGCTCTCTGTTTCAAGGCAATAATTCAACAGTCCGAGCAGAATGTGGTGGACCACCAGCAGTATCAGGACTCTCTACAGGCTGCAGTTGACTGGCTCACCTTGATGAAAGATCGTGTCAGCATGTGTTCAGATACATCTGGAGACAGACATACCCTCAACAACAAACTAGACAGAGTACAGGTACATATCGTTGTTAGACTTTAAAGCAGCATTGTTTCCATTGTGATAGATACCAATGACTGTATCAGTAACAACAAGACAACACCAATATGACAACATATAACCCTAACCCAAATTCATTAAAACTAGGCCAAGATATGAACAAACAAAAAAAGATTTACACAGAGACTCCTGAGAAAGTACAAAGAGAATAAAACCAGGTGTTCCAGAAGAGTCAGCATCTTCTGCTTCATCGACGACATCCTCCATGTAAATCTTGAATGTATGAAGGGGTGAGATGGCAAGTGAAAGCCATGCCAGTCATCATCATTCTGAGCAATATGGAATATCTTGGTCGCTAGGTTACAATAAACAAAATATGTTAAGTGTTTATTAAGACAGACAGGAAATGCAACTCACACTTTATAATTATATCCTACTTCCAGGAGTTGTTGGCCTCAATCCCAGAAGGCACTGCAAAGGTCAGTGAGTGTGAAGAGTTAGCAGCCACTTCCATGGAAACAACAGCCCTGAAAGGTCGTCAGAGCATTCAACAGGAAATGGATATGCTCAAGATGGACTGGGACAATTACACATCTCAGATCAAGGGTCTGCATGATGGGCTTGATCGTGCTGTCCAGCAATGGGGCAAGTACGAGGAGCACTATGATCGGATATCTCACTGGGTCAAGGACATGGAAAAGAAAGTTAAAGAATCTCCACTCAAGTCTACATTGGACGACAAACAGCTACAGCTGCAAAAATTCCAGGTAGGCATCATAAAAGCTGTGACAACGTGGGAATTATTTGGTATTTTAGAGGTGTAATGTTTACTATGTACCATTAAACTAGTTAGAATAAAGTTACCTTTGCTTCATGAGATTTTAGTCAACCTGGTCCAAGGACCTAGGACAGCATCTGCCATCCATTTATCATCAACTATTTCTCCCTGAAACTTTCTCTAAAGACATAGTTTCTCTAATTTAACTGGGATTATCTATGATTAACAGCTATTTTAATATTCCACTTTTTTCTTATTTCTCTGGGAAATTAACAAGCTGAAAGACTGTATAGTAACCAAGATATAGTACAGCCATAAATATAGTTCAGGGCTCTTGTGTTTCATCTGTTCATGTTTGTACCATTTGCTAGACCATTGAAAATGATATGTCAAGGCCTCTGTTGGTTTTTCTCACATCAACTATAGATCTTGTGATAAAAATAGTGACATTACCACTCTTTGCATAATAATTGACTTGTGTCTCATCAATTAACTGTTCTGAAAAGTCTAACTCACTTAATGTGATTGTTTATAATGTTTTGGGATGGGATTCAGTTCCACAAGGTATAAAATAACTACAGGTATTTATGGCAGGGTGCTTCTGTATGTCTGTTTTCTATTCCCTGTGACTGTGTGTGGTAACTTTCCAGGAAATCACACAAGAAATCTCTGAGTTCCACACAGAAATGGACGAGTTTGTTTCTCTGGAATGTGTAAGACCTGATATTTTCCTGACTTATGTGGTGTTGGATTTATTTACATGTTGTTATTATATAGATTATTTTCATTTTTGTTTCGTCGCGACTGCATTTTTTTTTTTTACGAGATCACATACTCTCAATAATCATTTGCTTGTTCATCGCTTCCCAGATCATTCAGCTGCCATGTATTTGCTTTCTCCTTCATTTTCTGCTTTTGTCATGCATCCTTTTAAAAATGTTTCTGTTAGTCGTAGGCCTTATATGGAACAGGAATTGGTTTGATGGTTATCATCAACAAAGAGTCCAGAAATCAAAATAAAATAATAGTAGAATAAATGATGTTGGTATTGATGTGACAAGTCATTTTGAACCAAATTTATTGGGAAGTGAAATGATTTGCTGACTTGTTTTAGTTAGACCAGCCTAATTTGGCATGCTTGCGTGGTTGACCAATAGTCACCATTACTATAGTTAATTATGTTGTAGATACCACATTGAGCATGTGAAATAAGTTGGATAATTTTAAGGTTATTTTGATACTTCAGTTTGCTTCAGTAATACTATCAAATGTTCCATAAAACTGCCTTGTTTGTTCTTGTTATTCCTGGTTTATCTTTGGTTATGTTGGAAAATGTTATAGATCATCAACTTTAAATGTGTTTTGATTCTGTAAAGCTTGAAATTTGGAAATTTTATAGATAATCAACTTTAAACATGTTTTGACTCTGTAAAGCTTGAAATTCAATTTATTTGACCTTATCCTAATCGTCATTTGTGAAGAAGAAATGATCACATCAAAGAACATACATACAAATTTTAGGTACGACTGAACTCAATCTCAGTATTTTACCATCATATGTTACACACTGCAATGTGTTGCTTCTGGTACTGTTAATTGGATGCTTGACACAATGCTTTTACTATTAGCATTGCCTTTAATTTACGGGCTTAATTGACTTGAGTAAAGACATTTGAAGCACAGGTAAGACTACTGTTTATAGAAAGAGTCATTTTGTGATTATTTTGGTATGCCTATGATGTGAAAACTGGAGTACAAATTTTGAGACAAAAATGTGATAAGGGTGGAAAGGGCTTCAGAATGCCATGACTAGTCACCTTTCCTTAAATTTCACGCTCCAGTAACATACCACATTTTGTCATTCTCATTGATGTTTTTTGATTCACTGTTATATAGGCTTTGATGACTGAGGTCAGAGCACATCAACGTGAAATGGACCACTTCTCAGACGAGGCACAGACACTACAGCAGCTGACAGGAGAAGCGCGAGTGGGCACCTCTGTTTCACAGCTGATGTCACGCTACCAAAGTTTACAACAAAATGTTAAGGTAAGTTGGTATATAACTAGCTGGTTCTAGAATATTTAACATACCCTCACTTGATATTATGCCCTCCTTCAAGTGTGGCGAGCTATAGTTACTCCATAAAGTCAGGGACCACAGGTTGCCAGCTGGCCCACTGTTTGATATCTCAGTGTGTCAGAGACAACAGGTTGCCTGCTGGCCAACTGTTTGATATCTCAGTGTGTCAGGGACCACAGGTTGCCATCTCAGTGTGTCAGGGACCACAGGTTACCAGCTGGTCAACTGTTTGATATCTCGGTGTGTCAGGGACCACAGGTTGCCAGCTGGCCAACTGTTTGATATCTCAGTGTGTCAGGGACCACAGGTTGCCATCTCAGTGTGTCAGGGACCACAGGTTGCCTGCTGGCCAACTGTTTGATATCTCAATGTGTCAGGGACCACAGGTTGCCATCTCAGTGTGTCAAGGACCACAGGTTACCAGCTGGCCAACTGTTTGATATCTCGGTGTGTCAGGGACCACAGGTTGCCAGCTGGCCAACTGTTTGATATCTCAGTGTGTCAGTGACAAGACTAGTATATCCTACTGCTAAAAAAACATTTTGACCTCTTTACCTGCAGGACCAACTGAAGAAGTGTGAACAGAATGTGGCAGACCATAAGCACTACAAGGATCGCCATGCTGATTGTTCACAGTGGCTGAACAAGGCAAAGAACAAGTTCACAACCAGTGCTGAAACAACTGGTTCAAGAAATGAGCTTGAAGACAGACTTGAAAAGATTCAGGTAGGTAGGGAAACACACTGAGGGAGAGAATAGGAAAAGACACTTAGGTTGGAGGGTAGGAAAAAACTTCAAGGGAAAGAGCAGGAAAAGACAAAGTGGGAAAGTAGAAAAAGAAATTTGAGGGAAAAAGTAGGAAAATTTAAACAATGAGAGAGCAGGAAAAGACTGTTGGAGTGGGGTGAGAGATAAGGAAAAAACACTGAGAGAGACAGAGAAGATACAATTAAAGGGAGTGAGAAAAGACACTTTGGAAGAGAGCATAAAAAGACATAAAGGGAGAGAATAGAATAAGATAGTAAATGTCTGTGGTTGATATGGTTACAGAAACTAAACTCCATAGAGGGTAAATGTCTGTGGTTGATATGGTTACAGGAATTAGCCACAGAGCGTGATGCTGGTTTCACTAAGTTGAACCAAGTTGTAGAAGCTGGAGAAAAACTGTACCCAAATACAGCACCAGATGGTCGTGAGGTGGTACGACAAGAATTGCGTCAGGTTAAGCTTGCTTGGGAAAGTCTGTTTGATGACCTCTCAGCTGCTCAACGTAAGATGGAGGTAGCGCTTGTACAGTGGACATCCTTTGATGACAGCTTTGGTCAGGTGGAGCACTGGCTCCGTGAGATGGAATCTCAGCTGGACGGTATGGTGCCACTCCGGTCCACACTCGAGGAGAAAAAAAGTCAATTACAGAACTACAAGGTATGTATACACACTCAAAACTTACTTGTATCAAGATCGAATATAGAAACAGCTTTATTATAAACGTGTTCACATTTTCAGTTATTAGTGACTGAATTTTGTGACTTGAGACATTCATTAGTAACCAGTGAAGTGACTAGAGATGACCAATGAAGTGACTAGAGATGACCAATGAAGTGACTAGAGATGACCAGAAGTGATTAATGAAGTAACTAGTGATGACCAGTAGTGACCAGAGAAGTAACTAGTGATGACCAGTAGTGACCAGTGAAGTGACTTAAGATGACCTCTATTGACCAGTGAAGTGACTTGTGATGACCAGTAGTGACCAGTAAAGTGACTTAAGATGACCAGTAGTGACCAGTATGATGAATTTTTTTGTGCTGTGTGTTTTAGGTACTTCATCAAGATGTACTGTCATACCAGCGTGTGATGGATAGTGTCAATGATAAGGCCCAGAATCTTGCCCAGAGCAGCACTGACCCACAACTCTCTAAATTTGTCACACAGGCACGAACACGCTACCAGAAAATCAGCTCCTCCTCAAAGGTACGAAGGAAATGATATATAAAGAAAAGAAACACAATAGACCTGTCATAAACAATAATTTGTATAGTGTTGAAAGTGAAAGCACAAGGATATGATACACAAGGTTAAATTCAGTGATGTCTCAAGGCATTTTCACCCAAGTTGGCCATGAAAATAATCACATTCTGTCATGAAATTTACACATCTCTAATTTTCCTTCTTTGGCAACTTTGACTTAATATGCCCTTTTAGTTACTATAGCTAATTTTTACAAAGAGTTTGTACAATAAACTGGTGTATCTTAACGTTGGAGATTAATTTGTACAGGAGCGTGTCCAGCAGTATGAGGTGTTTGTGGCCGACCACCAACAGTACAACGATGCCTACAACAACTGTATTGAGTGGCTCAATGGTATTCGTGAGAAACTCTCTATGTGTGCCGATGTTTCAGGAGATCGTCACACCATACAAAACCGTCTTGACAAAATCCAGGTGAGAGAAACGATAATTCAGACTATAAATTATATTTATTCTTTGGTTGGTTACAAATATAGTATATTTTTTCATCAGATTAAGGATTGTCTGTTCTTCAGGACATATCTAATTTTAGATGAAGGATAGGGACAAATTCTATTTTTAAATCCTTCCCCTTGTACTCTGTAAACAGATATAAAATTGCTATAGTGTATTTTTTTTACACCTTTAAATATAGTGAATTCCAGGACAGTCTTTGTCACGATCTTACAATGTTTGTGTGACATTTATATTTTCATACCTGTTTTTTTTTACACTGATTGGATTGTTTTGTACCCATGACCATGTTGTACATGTGTTATAATGTTATGATACCAATTGCAGGGTTATTACACTGGCCTGTTAAAAAGTGTAAGATTACTTAATATTCTTTATCATGTGGAATGGACAGCGGTGCTCCTGCATGAACGTTTCCTAACAACTAATTTAATAATCAAAACCCGTTTAAAGTAATAAAAAAGATAGTAAGCAACATGTGTTGTAAAGATTAAAAAGACATTTTTTTCTCCCCTTCATTCAGAATTTTCGAGCTAATTCTAAATAAGTTGAATTGATTTGTTATCACGACCTGATTTTTGTGTTTTGTGTGTGTTGTGTGGACTAACTTGTTCTTGTTGTTCCTCGTTGATTAACAATCTACAGCGTCGCTGTGTAAGTGGTTTTTTTTATTTTTGATGATTAGGCTTGTATGATCTACAGAGCCCCCTAGAAACTTCTTTTTCTGTCTGGTTTGTGTTTAGACCACTTGTATAACTAGGCTTGACCTATAGGTGTGCTTTGTTTAAGTCCTACCTGGGACGGTGTAGACCATGTATCTTGGTAAGGGTGACACTGTATACATGTACAAAATGTATCCTAGATTTTAGATGGTGTTTTTTTCTTGAACAGATGGAATTCACATCCTACTTCAGATTTGGGGTATGGAATGTTAGAATTTTGTGTGGAATCATTGGCACAAAAAGTTCAATCACATGTTGTAACTAATGTCAGCATGTCTCCAAGCACTTCACATCACTGTTGTAATATTTAAAGTGATTTTCATTGAAATCAAATGATCCTGTGTGCACCTGTTCAGATTTTGAAGTTTAGAAAATATTTAAGATTTGAAAAAAATGAATATTTTATTTCTTCTTTTTTTTTTTTAATTACCCAAACAATTTTTGTACATACCATTATATGTGACTTGAACAAAAATCCTTTAAAATAAAGTGTTTAGTCCTAAAGCTTGTTGATGTAAGAAAATTCTTTCTGATCATATACAGAGGTTGTGATACTTTTGTTTTACTAGAACACTGATATAGAGAAAATTAGCCGAGTAAGTAAGGGAGTGGTGGCTATACTCTGTTTAGCGTGTGACATTTTGGCCATCAGCAAGAGATAACATGAGTTTGCTAAGGGTAGACTTGGTTTGTTTGTGGTAAACGAGGAAAATCATTTTTGATAGTTATTTACCTGTGCATTTGTTTGGACACTTATGCAGAAAATGGTACCTATGATTTTGTATAGTGGACGTTAGAAAACAGCTAGAATGCATGTGCATGACTTGTTAACATCAAAATAATGATTAATGAATGCAATGAAATATCAAAATTTGATTGATTGGCTTCAATGCTTTAGTTTCTTTAATGCATGATATTTTTGTGATTAAAAGATTTGTAGTTAGACAACTTTGGTAAAGCACACCAGGTGTATATGTTTTCACTTCTTCGAGATAAACAGAATGCACAGCTTGTAAAGAAAACACAGTTCAAATCACAAGAAACTGAATGCACAACTTGTAGTGGCTAAAAAATCCCACCAACTTGGATAGATACACGTAAAAGTTCTCTTGTAGTCTATGTTGAAAAAGTGTGGAAAAAATTGTACAAACAGTAATTTTTGTACAGATAGGATTTTGTCTGATTTCCTTAGATATTATACTGTAATACATGTAATAGATATTATACTGTAATACATGTAATATAGATATTATACTGTAATACATGTAATAGATATTATACTGTAATACATGTAATATAGATATTATACTGTAATACATGTAATAGATATTATACTGTAATACATGTAATATAGATATTATACTGTAATACATGTAATACATGTAATATAGATATTATACTGTAATACATGTAATAGATATTATACTGTAATACATGTAATATAGATATTATACTGTAATACATGTAATATAGGTATTATACTGTAATACATGTAATATAGGTATTATACTGTAATACATGTAATAGATATTATACTGTAATACATGTAATATAGATATTATACTGTAATACATGTGATATAGATATTACACTGTAATACATGTAATATAGATATTATACTGTAATACATGTAATATAGATATTATACTGTAATACATGTAATATAGATATTATACTGTAATACACTGTAATACATGTAATATATATTATACTGTAATACATGTAATATAGATATTATACTGTAATACATGTAATATAGATATTATACTGTAATACATGTAATATATATTATACTGTAATACATGTAATATATATTATACTGTAATACATGTAATATGTAATACATGTAATATATATTATACTGTAATACATGTAATACATGTATAGATATTATACTGTAATACATGTAATACATATATATATTATACTGTAATACATGTAATATAGATATTATACTGTAATACATGTAATATAGATATTATACTGTAATACATGTAATATAGATATTATACTGTAATACATGTAATATATATTATACTGTAATACATGTAATATAGATATTATACTGTAATACATGTAATAGATATTATACTGTAATACATGTAATATATATTATACTGTAATACATGTAATACATGTAATAGATATTATACTGTAATACATAATATAGGTATTATACTGTAATACATGTAATATAGATATTATACTGTAATACATGTAATATAGATATTATACTGTAATACATGTAATATAGATATTATACTGTAATACATGTAATATATATTATACTGTAATACATGTGATATATATTATACTGTAATACATGTAATAGATATTATACTGTAATACATGTAATAGATATTATACTGTAATACATGTATATATAGTAATACATATTATACTGTAATACATGTAATATAGATATTATACTGTAATACATGTAATATAGATATTATACTGTAATACATGTAATATATATTATACTGTGATATGTAATATCTGTAATACATGTAATACATATAGATATTATACTGTAATACATGTAATATATATTATACTGTGATACATGTAATATAGATATTATACTGTAATACATGTAATAGATATTATACTGTAATACATGTAATAGATATTATACTGTAATACATGTAATATAGATATTATACTGTAATACATGTAATATAGATATTATACTGTAATACATATAGATATTATACTGTAATACATGTAATATAGATATTATACTGTAATACATGTAATATAGATATTATACTGTAATACATGTAATATAGATATTATACTGTAATACATGTAATATAGATATTATACTGTAATACATGTAATATAGATATTATACTGTAATATATGTAATATATATTACACTGTAATACATTTAATATAGATATTATACAGTAATACATGTAATAGATATTATACTGTAATACATGTAATATAGATATTATACTGTAATACATGTGATATAGATATTATGATATAGCCTTGTTTTGGTTCAGCCAGATTTGAATATAATGTAAATACAAGGATAAAAGACCAGCAGTGTTAGATATATGATGTTTTGAGTGGCTATTTAGAGAGCCTGTTAGAGTCCTTAGTTACTCTGAGTAGACATGTAGTTGTTTGTGTGTGAAGTACATATTTAGACCTATATAGATCACTATACAGGTTTGGTGATGGATTTTAAATCAAAATCCCATGGGAATGTCATATTTTATGGACCTATTTAGTGTGTGGAGTTTTCTGCCTGTAAATTTAACTGGTTGGTGAAAGAATTATATATTTGAATGTCATGCAACATGGAGATGTTTTATAACAAGCTGGCATATACAAAGTTAAGTGATGAAGGCACCATTTATTCTTAGTAGATATAATTACATCAACGTTATTACCTAGTGTCCTGGTTCCCATAGGATTGGTGTTGTGCAATGATGTTCCTTTTTATCGTCAATCTGTAAAAACTATAATGCCAGATTAAAGCAGATAAGAAATGTATGGTCAAAACAAGTTGTGTTTATTTGTATAATCTATTATTTACAAGAATGATATTAAGTATGTTGTTTGTGTAGCTTGTTTATATATAACTGGTTGATAACTAATTCACTCATGCCCACCAACAAGCAGTTTTACTTTATGGTAAATGAACATTTTACAGGACATTGTCGCGACTAAAATGGAAGGTGAACCTAAGGTTAAGAATGTAGTGAGTCTTTCTGAGAAAGTACTACCAAACACAGCACCACAGGGCAAAGACATTGTGATGAGAGAGACAGACGCTCTGAAGGATGACTGGGAGGCCTTCGTCAATGCCCTACAGAAGGTATGCATGTCTGTAGGCTGGTGTGTATAGTCAGTGATATGTTACCAATTGTGATAAATATGATGTGTCACCATGATGTGTCACCATTGATGATAAAGATGATATGTCACCATAAATGATGAAAATGATATGTCACCATGATGTGTCAACATAAATGATAACGATAATGCGTTACCATAGATGCATAGATGAAAAAGATGATGTGTCACCATAGATGATAAAGATGATGTGTCACCATAGGTGATAAAGATGATGTGTTACCATAGATGATAAAGATGATGTGTTACCATAGATGATAAAGAGAATGTGTCATCATAGATGGATATATTATATGTCATCATTGATTGTAAATCATGTGTCATTTTTGACTCTATGACTTTGTGACCCTATGACCCAATGACTATGACCATGTAACTCTATGACACTATGACTCTTTTGCAGACCAAATCTGACCTGGAGAGCTGTATGGATCAGTGGAAGGAGTTTGATGCTTGGCAGGAGAAAGTGTCAGCCTGGCTTAAGGATATGGAGGTCAAAGTTCGTGATACAGAGCTCAAGGCTACACTAAAAGACAAACAGTCTCAACTGGACAAGCTAAAGAAACTTCACAAGGAGATGATTGACCACCAAGGTGATGTTGATACTCTGAGCGATACAGCCCAGGACCTGGTTCGTGTCAGCACTGACACTCGTGTGATCAGCCAGGCGTCACAACTTGGCACCAAATACCAGACAATCTATATCAATATCAAGGTCAGTATTTGTTTCTTTTCTGATAAAAAAATAATTCCCTTGATTATGAAGGTGTTACTCGATAAAGTCAAGGAGTAATTGTAAACGTTATGTTTAACTAACAGCGTAATTCCTCTAAAGGTGATATGTGTGTGTTGTTGTTAATTTTAGGAATTATGCCGTCGCTGGGAGCAGTATGTGCTAGACCATCAGGCATACACATCATCTTTCAACCAGTGTAAGACTTGGCTCAATGAAATGAGGAAGAAGCTTCAGGTCCATTCTGACATCAGTGGTGACCGCCAAGCTGTCCAGGGGCGTCTAGGAGATGTCCAGGAGCTGATGGGTGACAAGGAGGAAGGACTACATATGCTCCAGATTGCCCTTGATAACCTTCAGATTGTGTTGCCCAATACCTCTGTCCCGGGGCGTGACAACATGAGGCGCGAGATGCAGGGACTTCAGGCAGAGTACGATGCCTTATCAGGGGACCTCAACGATCTCAAGACAAAACTAGATGGCACACTGACCCAATGGACAGTATATGATGACAGTATTGACCAGCTTGACCGATGGTTGTTTGATCTGGAGAAGCAGCTGGAGAATGAGTCGCAGCAACAGAACACATTACAGGAGAAACGACTTCAGCTGGAAAGAGTCAAGGTCAGTTGGGGTCATTCAACACAGTCAGGATTACAGAAAAATTGACCGTAGTATGTTGATACTGAAAGACCAGCACATAGTCATCCTTTGCGGCTTTATCCAAATTATTTTCTTTTCTGATATTTGCCTCCATTTCAACTTTTAAGTAATGTAAGTCACTCAAAACATAGATATTATATTGTAGTTTTAGTTACACAAGAACAAAAACAAATTCTTGATGACAAAAAGTCACAACTGAACCTGATAAACACCAAGGATGAAGGGCAGAAATATTTTCAAAACCTTCCATGCCTGATAGCTCTACATTTACATATACAACACCCAGTTTCCGATGTTTCGGTATGTGTCAAGCAGATCGGGTACCGTCCAGTAAGAGTACTTTTTCATACAATAAATTTGTATCTAGAAATCATGATAAACACCATTATTTATAGATAGCATATAGACATATATTGCTGGTTGTTTATAAACCTTTTGTCTCAGATTGTTTACTGGTTATTTGTCTGTCGGTCAGGTTCTGCAGCTAAATGTCAACAGCCAACAGAGTACCATTGACAATCTCAATGATAAGTCAGAGAATCTAAAACAGACCAGTAAGGAGGCCAATCTCGGAAACCAGATCCGACGACAAGTCAGTCGATACGAACGGCTTCTTGGTCGGGTAAAGGTATGTACAGTTAGTAATGATAAGATAGAAGTCCAGATATTATTATAAATATAAATCCTAATAGATAGGAGTTGCTTCCCTTGTGTTATATTGTATTATCATTACTATCTAATGATTATAGTGTATGTTAATGTATTTTGTCTTGTACCACTGTGATAGTATGTGTTCGAGAGGACTTAAATAGGCTCTGTCTGATGTCTGTTCCCTTTGTCATATATGTCAATAAAATTGTTTGAAATTGAACTTGATATCTTTGTAGGATTAGCTGATTGAATTTGTGATATGTACAGGCTCATTCATTGATGGGTGTAGGAGTTTAGTTTCATGTGCTGTTTGTTTATAGGATCAACAGGTAAAATGTGAGAAAAATGTTAAAGATCACCAAGCCTACCGTGACGCCTTCATGGAGACTTCTGATTGGTTAGGAACTGCCATCGAGGCACTCAATGCTTGTAGTGATGTACGAGGAGACAGAACCGCCATAGAGGCTCAGCTTCACAAACTTCAGGTACAATCTGTGAAAGTCTGCTGATGAATTACCTTAGCTAATAGTCTGTTGTCAGTAACTAGGTTTTTATCAAGGTCTCACAACACTTCTGGAACTAGAGGCTCCTTTTCTGATATTCTTTCTCTATTTGTGATGTATTTATCAGATCATTGAGGAAATAAAATCCAGCTGGTATATTTACTGATGCTTTATTATCTGCAGGATGTGTATAGCACAAATGATACTGGTAAAGAAAAACTGGAGCAGACCATTGTGAAGGGTGAGATTGTCTTACCGGAGACATCCACACAAGGACAGGACCTCATTAAGGAAGAACTGGCTATGTTGTCCAATGAATTTGAAGGATTTGTTAATGAGTGTGATGAACTCAACTCAAACCTTGGTAAGATTCTGGTGTAGTAAATCTGGTGTGGTGGATAGAAAGCATTCATGTATTCTGCAACTTGTTCAATAAATTTACGGTCGATGGAAATGTAAACTTGCAGCTAAGAATGTTTTTAAGAAGATTCTGTAGAAGGGTTCTTATGAAGACTGGTTATGCTTTGAAAATTACAGTTTAAGAAAGAAAGGCACAAAAAAGTGAGGTTGATAGGGAAATAGAAAGACTGTCTTTATCATGTTTATAAAAAGTGTTATGTGATATACAAACTGTTTACAGCTCGTCTCCTGGAGGAGTGGAATAAGTATGAGGAACAGTATAACGAACTCAGTCAGTGGATAAAGGACACAGAGACTGACATGAAGGCCGACTCGGAGCTGAAGGCAACGCTGGAGGACAAAACTGTGCAAGTGGAGAAACAACATGTAAGTACACATCACCTGTCTGTTTAGGCATAAGACACCATTTTGTTTTATTATGAAGTAAACTGGTTTCCATTTCTTTTATAATATTCTACTTGTAAAACGATCATCTTAACTTAATATCTGAACTAATCCTACAGGGTGTCCATGAAGAGATTCTCAACAAACAGACGGCATTTGATGCTCTAGCTGAACGCTCACAGACCTTACTTCAGTCTACAACAGACAATCGTGTGACCTCTCAACTCACTCAAATGAGCTCTCGCTACACAAGTCTTATAGCAGCCTCAAAGGTTAGTCAGTGTCAGCATTTCTACAAAGAAATAAAATATTATACAAAGGAAGAGTGTCTCTTTCATCTTTGGTCCTGGAATTCAAGCTTAGAACGTTCTTTCATACTTTAAATTTCTAGACGAACAGTGCAGGTCTACTTGGCCTCCTTAATGTTAAATTCAAAGCCTTGGTACCTAAAACAACTTGGCTGTGTTTTGTAGGAGCTGTTTAAGCGGTATGAGCAATACACACAGGACCACGCCCAGTATGCCGATACTTTCACTGAGGCAGCTACCTGGCTCCAGTCTACCCGTGACAAGGTATCGGTTTGTGCCGATACATCTGGGGACAAGTTTATGATACAGAGTCAGCTGGAAAAACTACAGGTAAGTTATGAACTGTTGTAACCCAGGTAGGGAAAAACTACAGGTAAGGTATGAACTGTTGTAACCCAGGTAGAATATAATGATAGCTAACTGAATCAGACAGTTCAGAAACTCTTACACATTGAAGAAATCATTGGCCATCTTAATTCTGTTTTAGGAGTTTGTCGTAGTTAAAGAGGAGGGTCAGCTGCTGATTCACACGGCAAACACATGGGGCGAGAAAACCATGACAAACACGTCAATGGACGGTCGTGAGATGATCCGTAAGGAGCTACAACAGCTTCAGCAGGAGTGGGAGAACATGCTAGGAGAGATCACTGACACCAAGGTTATGCTTGAGTCATGTCTGCTCCAGTGGACTGACTACAGCGACAGCTACGACAAAATCCACAAATGGCTGCGCGATATGGAGAAGCGCCTGCGCGAGACTGAAGCCAAGGTGGACCTTGGTGAGAAGAAAGCTGAGCTACAGAGACTCAAGGTACTGTAGCAGTTGTTAGGAGTTCTCCTGCAGACTTTTTATTTGTTATGTAGACTGATAATTTTACTAAGTAGTTGATTACTGTAAATACAACTAGTCTTACTTTGATATTGACAGGGGCTGTACCAAGATGTTATATCCTACGAGCAGATGATTGAGTCTATTGGAGTCAAGGCCACTGACCTGTCCTCCAAGAGTCCCATCAGTAAAGCGTCAACTGATACATCCAATATAGTGACCAAATATGGTGCCATTAAAGACCAAGCCCAGGTAAGCAGGGATCAAACACGACGTGAGAGTTAGTCAGAACACGGGTCACTCAGAATAGGAGGATTAATCAGGACACATGAGTCATTCAGTACTCAAGAGTTAGTCAGAACACTTGGGCTCATTTAGTGCACAAGATTTAGTACGAACCCGCTGGTCACCCTGAACAACAGGATTAGTCAGAATGTGTGGGTCACTCAGAACGTGAGAATTAATCACTTAGAATGCAAAGGTTTGTCGAAACTCACAGGTTTATCAGAGGGCATTTTAGAGAGTGAAAACATAGTAGGAAGGACATTTTGTTCAGTGGCACTCTTGCCATTACAGAAATTAGTTCTAGGTTAATGATACTGCATTAACCATGATGTTTGTCCACTTATTCACATACTGATATGTCATCAGTTCCAAATAAATAATTCCTGTTTTTATTCACCCAGGAATTGCTGGCCAAGGCTGAACAGTGTGTAGCCCAGCACCAGGCTTACCATGACTCTTGTAATGGCTTCCTGTCATGGCTTCGAACTGCACGGGAAAAATTGGCCACATGCTCCGACACATTTGGCGAGAAATCTGTCATCATTACCAAGATTGAAAGAGCAAAGGTATTTAAAGATATGCAGGATAACACCTGTCTGTGTACATTGTTTTGTGTTTGTGTCTCATTTTATCGTCGTTGGTTACGATCACTATTCCAGATCAGATGTGAGTAAAGCTTGTCTCAACTTCATAATTATTGCAAACACCTGAAAGTAACTATATACACATAGTTTAATTATCAGGAATAACATGTCACAAATGCAGCCCCTGGTCCAAAGTGATGTCATAGTTCAGTGACACTAATAAAACAAATCCATGGAACAGGGGCATGAAACATCCAAATATTGTTAAGACTTTTCCTTGTTCTATGTTGTTTTTTTCCTTTCTTATAATCTTTGGTCAATAATTCAGTTGGTATAACCCTTTATTTACTAGACTCTAACAGCAGACATCAGCCAAGGAGCACAGAGACTGACTGAGGCAACCAAGGCAGGGGAGACCACTCTCTCATCAACATCAGCAACAGGACAGACCAAAATCCGTCAAGAACTGGCATCTATGAAGCGCGACTTTGAGGAATATCGTACTCAACTGACTGATGCACAAGAAGACCTTGAGCGATGTCTGACTCGCTGGAGTGACTTTGAGGAAAGCTATAATTCATTCAATAGCTGGCTGAAGGAGACTGAGAGTTACCTTCGGGCTGACCTTGACCTTAAATCATCATCTGACGAGAAGAAGAGACACTGGGATCAGTACCAGGTATGTGTTGGTCAGATTCGATAATTACTTGCCTGTCAGGTTAAGTTTTTGTTTTAAGCAGAATATATTTGGTTTATTACTTCAGCAGTATCTAACTTTCAGATAATATAAGTAATACTCCTTTCTAACTAGAGAAAGTGATTTTTTTCAAATTTTACTTCTTTTTTTTTTTCTTTTTAATTTTGTATAATAAAAGAATTGTCAAGGAATTTTTTTACTTTGAAGAATACTATGTTATTGTGCCATGATTTTAGAAACTTTTTGCCAAATATTCCAGATTATATGGAATTCTTTTTCATTTACCTTGCTTTTCCACTCACAGCTGAAGTTACATTATAGTGTAAGTACCGCCGAACTGGGCGGGGTTAGAGGTTGTTTAGAAGTGTTCCTCCTTGTCCCTCCCCCAGTGGTAGCATGAATCCTATCCATAGTCAGTAGTCAGAAGAACTAAAACAATTCAGTTTGAATTGATGTTTTATGGAAAATAAAATCATTTTAGCTTTATTGCATATAGATTTATAATATTCTATGTAAAGTGTCTTAGTTTGAAAATCAAAGCTACTCAAAATTAAACAAAAGGATTTTGTATGGTAAAATTTGTTCTTAAGTTTTATTGCACAACAAAAAGTGTTCTAGCATTTTCAAACCAGAGCACTGTTAAAAACTAAACTGAAAAGAAATTCTTATTGAAATTGTTTATAGACCTATTAGTCTGACTTTGTGAGATAATCTTCCTTTCCATAATATTGCTGGTGATGGGTAACAATACTTCAATATAGGAAGTGGTCACACTCTCTTCATTCACTACACATAGTCACAGGATCTCTTAGTCTCTTATAATACAGCTTTTCTTAGTCATGTACAACAAAACCATACTACTGTTTGTGCCAAGGAATGCATTTTAGTAAAAAAAAAATTTTTTTTTTCGTAGGTCCTTGAGAATATAAGGACCCTTCCATACTCTCCAGTTTCCCTGTATATAGTGTATTAAAGTCCTTGTATAATAAGGACCCTTCCCTATATATATATACAGTGTACCTGTATATTGTATATAAAGGTCTGTGTAGATTCGATTATTTTTTGTAATTTTCCCCAATATTTTGTGTTGAGAAATGATCTCTTTGGAAGCATTTTTGAACCTGTGTTGACAATGCCATATCATCTTTGTAGTTAAACCATAAAAACACAACTAACAAATGGCTTTGTATCACAATAGTAAAAAACTGTGTATCATTCATTATACAGAATTTAAAGTTATTTGCACCATTTACTATACACAATGTAAATAAGGTCAGTATAAATTAAGGCATTATGTCCACGTATCTGGGGACAGTGCACCAAAGGAAATGATCACAAATTATCGTCCTCTTGTGAAGCAAGTTTTCCCTTAATTTTAGCCTCTCCCACATTTAACTGTCATTATTCTGTTATAAGTGACTGACAGTGTAGAAGGAGCGTGTTTTACCCTGTTTATCCCTGTGTTTATTTATCCTTTGTGTGTCTGAGAAAAGAGAACTTCCTCCCAACTTCTAATTTCTTTGTTTGACGTTTTAACTTTCCTGCTACAGGAAAAGTTCCACAGTGCTTGCCTCTATATTCAGTATCTCTGTTACCATAACATAGTTTCATTTCTAGCAATCAAGAAAACTTTCTTCAACATAAGAACATAGATTTTAAAAGAAAATAATTCTTTTAATGTTATTTGAGACACAAGTATCAAAGGCAGTCTACAAGTAAAAACTACCAGAGGCCATGGATATCAGCTGTGTCCTCACTGAGGGGTATGGTCACTAGGTAAAAACTCCCAGTAGCCATGGACATCAGCTGTGTCCTCACTGAGGGGTATGGTCACTAGGTAAAAACTCCCAGTAGCCATGGACATCAGCTGTGTCCTCACTGAGGGGTATGGTCACTAGGTAAAAAACCACCAGTAGCCATGGATATCAGCTGTGTCCTCACTGAGGGGTATGGTCAGTATGTAAAAACCACCAGTAGCCATGGATATCAGCTGTGTCCTCACTGAGGGGTATGGTCACTAGGTAAAAATCAACAGTAGCCATGGACATCAGCTGTGTCCTCACTGAGGGGTATGGTCACTAGGTAAAAATCAACAGTAGCCATGGACATCAGCTGTGTCCTCACTGAGGGGTATGGTCACTAGGTAAAAACCACCAGTAGCCATGGACATCAGCTGTGTCCTCACTGAGGGGTATGGTCACTAGGTAAAAACCACCAGTAGCCATAGATATCAGCTGTGTCCTCACGGAGGAGTATGGTCACTAGGTAAAAACTCCCAGTAGCCATGGACATCAGCTGTGTCCTCACTGAGGGGTATGGTCAGTATGTAAAAACCACCAGTAGCCATGGACATCAGCTGTGTCCTCACTGAGGGGTATGGTCAGTATGTAAAAACCACCAGTAGCCATTAACATCAGCTGTGTCCTCACTGAGGGGTATGGTCAGTATGTAAAAACCACCAGTAGCCATGGACATCAGCTGTGTCCTCACTGAGGGGTATGGTCACTAGGTAAAAACCACCAGTAGCCATGGACATCAGCTGTGTCCTCACTGAGGGGTATGGTCAGTATGTAAAAACCACCAGTAGCCATGGACATCAGCTGTGTCCTCACTGAGGGGTATGGTCACTAGGTAAAAACCACCAGTAGCCATGGACATCAGCTGTGTCCTCACTGAGGGGTATGGTCACTAGGTAAAAACCACCAGTAGCCATGGACATCAGCTGTGTCCTCACTGAGGGGTATGGTCACTCATTACTACCATTACTACTCTAAATTTTGTAGCACATAAAGATGTTCATTTATTTGTTAGTCAAACATGGATTTGTGAAATGGTTGTGAGTAAATTTCTATTGAACCTTACAAACATTGTGGAAATGCTTTTACCTACACTTAACAAGCTTTGATTTCCTTATAGAATTACCTGGAAGATGTGTTGGCCAAGCAGAGCTCTTTAGATAAGGTAAACGAGAGGGCACAAGCTTTACTCCAGACCAATGCTGATGCAAAGACATCACATGCCATCACTCAGCTGACCACACGATACCAGGGTGTGATTGCTCTGTCCAAGGACATAGTCAAAAACCTGGAGACCTACTTCGAAAATCACCGGACATACAAACAAAACTTGGAGGATTTTCAGGACTGGTTTCAGGACACTCAACAAAATCTCCGACAAGTTCAGGACTCAGCTGGATCCAAAGACGATGTTGGAAGCAAGATCAGCATGATCGCTGTAAGTCAACTGATTGTGTCTGTTAGGTCATAGGTCATTACAACGTGATGGGCCTTACTTGGAAGAATTGTATAAAGTAACTAAGACTTTAAAAGAAATAAGGAAGACACTGCCACTCCGTAGATATACCCTCGTCCTTCCAAAAAAAAAAAAAAAAAAGATTTGACCAAATGATTGGGGGTTTTACAGGTAACGGTATACAATATAGAACAATGTAAGATGTGGTAATGCCATTTCTGCTGAGGCTTTGGTCCTTATTTTGTAAATAAATTAATATGTATGATTATTTGATGATAAACGGTTAACATGAATACGGAAATCTTTCCTGCTCTAGGCAATACAAGCAGCCATGGACAAAGGACACAATCATCTCAGAGCATTGCTGGAATGTTCAGAACGTGTACTACCCAACACCAACCAACGTGGCTGCCTCGTTGTAAAACAGGAGACGGAAAGTGCCAAACAAGACTATGAGAATCTGTTGACAGATGTGTCACAGGCCAAGCGAAACTTGGAATCTGCGCTGACCCAGTGGAGTGACTTTGATCGCTTGTATGATCATTTCAACAACTGGCTAGCAGATGTAGAAACCAAACTCAATAATGACCCAGAACTTCGTGCTGACCTTCCGGAAAAACGTTCCAGCCTGGAGAAGAGTAGGGTAGGTAGTTTTGAATGTTGATGTTAAATGCAGCTCCCAAATTATCACTTCATGTCTGTGTGTCAAGTGTGGCTAAACAAGATTGGGGCTCCATCCTTCATCTCATTTCCTTCAAATGTAACCACAAAATTACCCTATTTCAGTTGTCTAATGTTCTTTTTCTCATATTGGCTTCTTAGCATTTTCCGGAAAAACCAGAAAATGGACGACACAAAAATATTATGTCACATCACGTCACATGATTAAGAAGTCTTAAAATAGCATGCATCAATCATCATCAGTGACGCCGAATGCGACAACCAGAACCTTTTTACATATAGTAGCAACAGGGGATGAAAACACACTGCCATTGTGGCCAAATACTTACGACACGTCCCTGTAGCCTGTAAAAGAGTTTCTAACCAGTGACAATATTATAATAATCCCCATCAAACTTTCCTTTTTTAAAATATTTCCTAAACAGTGTTTATATACAAAACTTTCATAATTTTCTTGTTCTTCAAGTTTTTTTTATCTTTTGACAATTTTCATCATAGGTGAGAGGCCTGACAATAATGTGTTTTAACATAAAGTGTTTGGTTACTTTAGTGATACAATTTTACCCCACAGGCTTTACAAGCTGATGTTGCTGCTCACAAAGAAGCTCTCACAAAATTAGAGGATAAATCCTCCAATTTGAGGGATGGACGTCCACAGACTGTAGCTTCTGATCTCCGGTCTCGATTCAACAAAGCAGCTAACCAGTCGAGGGTAGGTGGTGTAGATCCTTGCAACATGTGTCTATAACAACTTAGAAAAGGTAAAGGTAATTGAAGAATGTTGTCCAATCTGTATTTAAAGTGATAACAACATAACGATCTTTTGGATGTGTTTATTGTAGCTGTATGTAATGTATTGATTCTTATTGTCTGATAATCTTTTTATTGTTTTTAGGACCTGACTGAGCGTCTGGAGGACCAGGTACAAAGCCATGAGGAATACAGACGAGCTTATATAGCATGTCTTGATTGGCTCGCTAACAACCGACACAGACTGCAACGTCTTAGTGACTACTCTGGTGATCGGAGAACACTACAAGACAGACTTCAGCAACTCAAGGTAGATCACTAGAAAAACAAATGATTGATACAGGCTGTTTAAACAAAATGTTGGATCAAATATGCATCTGGCAAAAACATTTTACTTCTGTATCGATCGGTCTGTTCAATCTTTTATGAGTCAAAACAGAAAAAAGATTTTTATTTTGAACAAATAAGGAGTAAGAATTAAGTTGAAAATTATTGTCTTTGTCTGTTTACTCAGCCTGAATTCTTTATTGACACTTTCCAAAGTTAAACAAAAGTTGATCAATATTTATGAATGCTCTGTTTCTTCCTCTGAGATTTATTATTGACTTTCTCTGTTTCACTACTATGTAACAAACTTACATCTGGACTTTTCTAGGACTTCAAGGGAGAGATGCGCCAGGGTCAAGACATGGTCAACAATGCTACACAGCTTGGTGAGCGTGTTTGTCAGACGACAGCCCCTCGTGGACAAGAAGCCATACACAAGGAGTTGACAAACTTGAAAGAGGACTGGAACTCATTTGCCTCCTCTGTCAATGAGATGGAGGCTAACCTAGAAGCTTGTATCGGGAACTGGCTTGAACTCGATGAGGAATACCAACGCTTCCACCAATGGGCTGAAAAAATGGAGGGCAAAGTCAAAGGTCTCCAAGAAAACAAACCTGACCAACAGCGCAAAGAACAGCAGCTCATGGACGCAGAGGTCAGAATTTTAGATGTCATTTATATATGTGAATGAGGTCAAGATCATTAGAAATATGTTGATAAATACAGATGACTTTGTGATTTAATATTTAATATTGGTAGGTACTTGCATGATAAAATCCTGATATACATGTGTATGTGTGTGTGTGTAAAAAATTTCAATGTTTATGTAACAGGATGTTTTTGATGAAGTGCTGAAGAGAAAAGCAGCTTTGGACCATGTCAAGGATAGAACAGATGCTGTGTCACAGAGGAGTTCAGATCCTCGTATCTCTAACAACATGATGCTTCTCTCTGCCAAGTACCAGGGACTGGTGTCTGCTGCCAAGGTTTGTGATATCTCTATGTCAAACGAAGGTTTGTTAAGAAATGGGGGAAGATATTCATGTTACCATCACTGACTCCAGATATAGATGCCAATTCAAAATCTGAAAATGGTGGGAATGTCTGCTCTATAAACACATACATATGATTAATTACTGGAATACTCTCATGCTCCCAATTTCTAAGGATTTTAGTATTAAATGTATCATTACACATATATTTGTCCATCTTTTCTCCAGGGAATGGTCCACAGACTGTCGGAGAATGCCAAAGACCACAAAAGTTACAACACAGCCTTTGATGAGGCTGCTGATTGGCTAGCAGAGGTGGACGAACGAGTCAATGTATGCAACGACACATCAGGTGATTGGCATGCTGTTCAGGATCGTATGGACGATATCAAGGTAAAGACATTTCTCTTTCATAGAAGAATCTTCAAAACACTTTTTTTTATTTTCTTATGTTGGAGCATCTATGTAATTCGTGTTTGTTCTTTCTTGTGGAATCAAATTGAAATCAAATTCAAACAAAATTCAAATCAAATTGAAATCAAATTCAAACAAAATTCAAATCAAATTCAAATCAAATTCAAACAAAATTCAAACAAAATTCAAACCAAATTCAAGCCAAATTCAAATCAAATTCAAATATAATATCATTGTTATTAGGATATAACAACAAACATGGACGAAGGTCTGAGAAAGGTGAACCTGGTTTGTGACCTGGCCGAGAGAATTCTGCCTAACACTTCATCAGATGGTAAGCGAATCATTGAACAGCAGGTCACTGAGCTGACAAATGAGTGGGAAAAACTAAACCAGGCAATCTCAGAGACTTCAGCCATGTTGGAAGGTGTTCAGGATCGCTGGAACGACTATGAAGAATACTATGGTAGTCTGATTAAGTGGCTTGCAGACATGGAGAACCAACTCGCCATGGATCCTGATCCACGTGCCCAGCTGGTGGAGAAGAAGACCCAGCTTGACAAATTCAAGGTCAGTTAAATACTGTAAGGGGTTATACACCTGTATTATGAGAAGATAACAGTCAAGTCTGTGGAAAATAAGCCAGATACATAATACAATACACGTACAAAAAAATGTATCCAGAGTTTGGTAGATGTAGTTATGTATCATTATCATAACGTAAATGTTTTGTTTTTCCAGCTGGTGTTGAGTGATGTGGAAAACCACCATCGACTTGTGAATGAGTTATCGGAACGTGTCGCTAACCTGGAGGCTCTGAGTGAGAACCAGGAGGTGGCTGATACACTGTCTAATGTTCAGAACCGGTACGAAGGTGTCCTCAGGAGAGCACGGGTAGGTCACTCCTTTTATTTATAGTTCTCTGATGGAGATATCCTACAATCTCCCTCGGTACATAACACCCTGCCTTACAAACCAATCCCCACAACTTTTATTTTATAACTGTAATCTTAAATTTCCCTCTGGTGATTATAACACTTGCTCTTGCTGTAAATCTGGAGATTTCATTCCTGTTCTATGTTTTGCTTCACATTGTCAATGGCTACATTGAAAATGCTTTTTGTCAAAGTTGTAACGAAGCTTCAAGACAAGATATTTTTCTGGTAGGATCGACGGTACATTCTTGGTAAATTTATTTATACAGGAAATAGTGGCCAAACTTGAACAAGCCTACCATGACCACCTTGATTTCCATGAGGCTCAGCAGGACAGTGAGAAATGGCTGCTGCAGACGTCATTCAAACTCATGTCGCATAACTCACTCAATGTCAGTACCATGGAACTCACTCAGCGGCAGATTGACAAACATCGGGTAAGACTTATAAACAAATACATTTGTAGATTTATATAGAATTGACAAGCACCATTCATCGCACATGCACCTGTATAGATTTATACAGAGTTGACAAGCACCAGTCTACAAACATATTTATATAGATTTATACAGAGTTGACAATCACCAGTCTACAAACACATCTATATAGATTTATACACAGTTAACAAGCAGCAGTCTACACACATATCTGTATACATTTATACAGTGTTGACAAGCACCAGTCTACACACAAATCTATATAGATTTATACAGTGTTGATAAGCACCAGTCGGCACACATATCTATATAGATCTATACAGTGTTGATAAGCACCAGTCTACACACATATCTATATAGATTTATACTGGTGTTTCTTAGTAGTTATGTTTTTTATCTCTTTATTCAGGGCCTAATTAAGGAGATTGAAGGCTATCGATCAACTTTGGATGAGGTCTCACACCGAGGCCGTACTCTGGTTCAGGACAATGCGCGAGTTCCTAAGATGGCACAGCAGGTTCAATCACAGATGCAGAACTTGGAGGAAAGTTATCTCAACTTACAGACCACAGCTGAGCAGATCAGGGTAAGTCTATCTTGGCACATATGTAGAGAGCAATCTTCATTTCCACCATATTTTTCTTTGTATTATTGGAGAAATGAGAGCGGTTGATAAAATTGTAAGGAGGAATTTCCGTTGTATGCTAGAGAGATATTTGACTCAGAGTTCACCAATTACTTCATGGTGCACTAAAGCTTTGTACTTTGGAACTTTCATGGAACCATGTCAGTAGTTTTAGGAAATCACAGTAACAGTCCTAGAATTCCAAGGTTAATGACAAGGAATGTGTAAGGACACGGCTGGGACCAAGCATTTCGTTCCACAAATAAGGGGTATTTGACTAATATATAGGTTCAAGGAAGTGGTGTTTTACTAAGATTATAAATTCAGATGTTGTAATTATAATTCTGGCTCAGCTCTGAATGTATTTGATGAACTCTGTGTCAAATAGTATGAAGATAAGGATGCACTATTCTCCATCAGCTTCTAGTCATAAACCATCATCATCTGTAGCACCATCAGTAACAAAGCGCTCAACCTACGGCTCCCAGCCATAGTGCCCTATGGGTCCGTGTTACTAAAAATACAATCCTACAGGTGAAGCATGTAATGCTTGTGTAGAGTATCTGTTGAGACATGGAGGGTCAAGTTGCGTGAACTAAAGCCTGGAAGACATGCACAAAAAAGGATGGTCAAGGATTTCTTGTTCTTTGTGTTTCCTTTGGTTGTTTGATAATTGAAGAGTTCTGGATAAAAGTGATTTCCTACAACACAAAATATCAACATTTATTGGTACCCGATTTCTAATGTCTTCCTGATTTTCATTTTTTGAACTCCTTTATTAAAATACTTTTGATAATATTTTTCATGAAATACTAAAGATTATTTATATATATATATATATTAATATCATTTCTTGAAGAAAAAACTTAACATGAGCATGTGTTGGTATGCATGTCTTAGTAAGAGATTGTTAAAATGGTTGTTCCTTTCAATATCCCTGTTGTGTTGTAGCATTTCATTACAACAAATCGCTTAAGTCATCGACTTCATGTTTGGCATTCTGTTACAGTAACACTGGTTGTTAAAGTGATTAAAACTGCTGTTGATTAATTCTATTTGTACCTTAATTTTTGTCATTGTTGTCCTCCTCTATATATATTTCCAACACCAGGTTTGAAAGTTTGTCGACTTTTATATCACAGCTCTAATTCTTTGTGTTTTAACTGGAATATTGTATCTGTAGATAGTATTGTATGATAGAGTCATGACTGTGTGAACTTGTCATCATGTAGAAGTGAGTGAAATCGTTATATATTTTGGCCATCCTTTGCTATGCTTCTAGAGCAATTTGTCCTATAAACCCCAGTTTAAAATTATTTTCCTGTCAAAAAGAATTTAAAAAAATAAAAAGCAGCTCTCAAAAATATAGCAGTAATGTTTCTTTTCAAGTGAAGATTTTGTTCTTTCTGTTTGTTTGAACAAAAGCATTTTAGCTTGACATACACTGTTTTTGAGTGATTATCTATTTTGTAGAAAACTTAAATGGGATTTTTTTCTGTGTTTTTTTTTCTTCTGATCTTCATACTTTTGATAATGTCACATGCACAAGTTCTTTATCTGTTTTAAAGCACTATAGAGAATAGTTGTTTTCTGGATCCACTGTGTCACAAATATTTCTGTAGGTGAAGGATTGCCAAAACTGTCATTAACAACTGATAAATCCTTTATCTGCCATCATTTTGTGTGTTAATGGGAGATGTTATTAAGATTTAAAACAAAAAAATCAAAAATGATTCAGTTTGAATGTGTAGATAGATCAAACAGCCATAGTATGTGAAAAAGTTTTATGACAAATGTATATAATGCTATGAAATGCTAAGTACTTGCCAATAATTAGTTCCTAGTCTTCATTTGAACTCATTGCTAGTAAGTTTGTGGGTAAATTTTGCTTGGATTAATGTGTACTTGTTAGAGACAAACATTCGTCAGTGGATCCAGGGGAGATAACCAGGGTGATGGAAATAAATTATGATAGAATATTAGGTTCCAGAAAATATCTTTCAGTTACTGTTAATATCAACTTTTTTCTAAGATAACATTGGATGCAATTATATATAGACCCTACACAAGTACCTTTTGTTTGCTATATGTTAGCAGACTTTTTGTGAATAGACTGTCTGTGTGGTAGTTTGGCCTGCCCTGGATCCGCTGGTTATATGATTAAGGGTTGATTGTGATAGGTTTGTGAGTGAGACTCTCTGTTAATCTCCTTCACAGGTAGTTTTGGATCACATTGATCTCTACTGGTACTGATTGCAACCTGGTCAGTTCCTGGTCACCTCAGGTCACCCCTGATTACTCCGCCACGGTCAGTTCTCAAACTTCATTGATGACTATGCTATGGTTTGTTTAAGACTCGGTTCACCTACAAGGAGACATGTGTTGCTAGAGTGACAAGTATAGTGATATGAGTACTTCCTGAACATTTGGTGTACAAAAATCCTGCCTAATTAGTCAAATGGAAGCAGGCTCACTTTTATAGTTACAAGAATGGAAGATTTCTCGGAAAGAACAACAGATTCTGGTGGACTGTGGACATTCTTAAGCCTTTCAACATTCCATTTAACTGGAACAGAAACCATGTGATACAAAAGCATTGTGATAAAAAGATATGGGTGATACGTGTTATACACTCAGTGATATTTATTCTCAGCTGTTATCTGTGCCATTCCAGAGTTAGTCATGTGTGATCATGCGAGTGGCCATTGTTTTACACCAGATCACACACGTGTGTCAGCAGTATTTGTTAGCTTACTTACAATCTCTCTTGTGTATTAATTTAATCAGTATTTTCATCAAAATCATATATATGGTGCTTAACAAATAGATCTAGTGACTTTGTGAATGTGTTTATAATGTTTTGAGTAAAAGCAATCTGGTGTTACATCCGTCCACAATATATATATTTTTTCCGTATTTTATCTATACATTGAACAGCCATCATTGATTGTTGATTTGTAAAAACTTCTATAACTTGATTAGTACATTTGTCTTAAGTTGTAACTATATGTGTGCTAGGGATTTTTTTTTTTTTATTTATCATTTTGTATGAATTTTTAATTTACCATTGGGAAACTATAAATAGTTTCACCTCTGCTACATCGTTAGAGTTGGTTCGCGTGGTGACATATCTAACAATTGTGTTTCGTCTGGTTTTGGTTGCTAACAGTTTTTTTTTGTGCATGTCTCCAAGGCTACATTCAACGTAGGTCAGATGTTGACCTTTTAACCTTGACCTCTGTGATATTTGACTTCACTTTTTAATTAATTCCATATACCTCCATGCATGATTGAATGTTCTAACTAGCACCAGACATTTTTTCACCTGTAGGATTCACCATGAATACTTGCCAGTATAAACATGTGGCATTTATTGTATTATAAGTGTCACACTGTTATATTTTACGTGTTTTAGTATACCAAGTAAAACTGTTGAGCCATAGGTTGTGCCTTTTATAACCAGCCTCTTAACCTGAATTCTCTCCATAACTTGTTATCACATGTGAACTCTGTTTCTGTTGAAATTTGTAGAAGTGGGTTGTGTTACATAGCCAAGAATTCAGTCTAAAGACTGAAAAGGTGAAAATATTAAATTCACCAGTGTCATTTTTACATTCAACAGATGTGGAAGAATTTAAGTGTTATGGGTTTGTAGTTTGGCTGTGGTAGTCAAGCATTACAACACCATCTCAGTAGTTATGTCATTATTTAATAAAGAATTATACAAAATACAACTTCAGTACTTGTGTTTGATTTAATCTCCCTTGTACACAAGCTGGGAAAGAATATTACACAGATAAACAGGTTCTCAAATAGTATCATATTACAAAGACTGTCAAGTAATATTATATATTACGGAGATAAACAGACTCAATTAGTATCATATTACACAGATAAACAGACTGTCAATTAGTATCATATTACACAGATAAACAGACTGTCAATTAGTATCATATTCCACTGATATATAGACTGTTAAATAGTGTCATATTCCACAGATATATAGACTGTTAAATAGTATCATATTACACAGATATACAGACTGTCAAATAGTATTATATTACACAGATATACAGACTGTCAAATAGTATTATATTACACAGATATACAGACTGTCAAATAGTGTCATATTCCACAGATATATAGACTGTTAAATAGTGTCATATTACACAGATATACAGACTGTCAAATAGTATTATATTACACAGATATACAGACTGTCAAATAGTGTCATATTCCACAGATATATAGACTGTTAAATAGTGTCATATTACACAGAAAGTAATAAAAGATAATACCCAGCCAAATGTTGTGAAAGAAATGACCTTGATCAATATTTGTAGATCCCAAGGGTCAAAACATTCAAACAACTTCTTCTGATTGAACAAAGGGTCTAAAATACAGATACCAGGCCAGAAGGTTTTTGGTGTGAAGTGGAATCAAGTTTTTGAAAGAAATGACCTTGAAATATGTAAAAAAAAAACAGTTCAGGTTTGTTAGAATGCTCCAAAGACTTCCTCTGAAAGACCGAAAGCTCTAGAAACCTGATGCTGCATCATGAACTTGTTAACTTTGAGTGCTACAATGTTTTGGAAATGAAATTGACTTGACCGATATTCAAGGTCAGGGAATGGAACATACTGATGAATTCTTCTATTTAACTGAAAGTTCTAAAGCTGTAAAATTGTTCAGGTTTAGTTGATAAATGTAAAACCTGGAATTTTAAGTCTAAATATTAAAATTTTTGCTGAAATACATTTGATTTTAACCCATTTTGAAAGTCTAATTGAATACAAGGGAAGGAATGCAGCCCAATAGGCCTTTTCTTTCAAAAAAGAAAATATCACAACTACCTGAATGTGCACACTAAAGTGAAAAGCATTCCTCTGCAATAGACAAATTGATAGTATACCACTAGATCACACAAGGTGTAATGGCTCAGGTACAGGTGTGTTTGACCAGTCATGGTAAATTTTTGTACAGAATCGTCTTGCTGATGTCATGCAACGCTGGCAGGACTACAAGGATCTGCTGGATAGGAATGACCAGTATCTTAATGAAGAATTCCCACGCTGGCTTGGTGATTGTGATGCTCAGGTGCCTGATAACTTACAGGCTGCCCAGAATAAACTGGACAACATTAGGGTAAGTAGTGCTGACCTTGAATATCAGGTCAAAAGGCCATGAAATTTCAGTCAGGAATGACCATGATGTCTTTCCGTCTTTGTAGTTGGTTATACATTATGCTATGGCTGTTGATAATTTACTTCATAGTTTTGGGAGGTTAATATCAATATTGAGTGAACTGTGTTTGATATAGTTCTTGTACAGGGTAGAGTGTATGTACTATATTGTACTGTGGTGTTTGATACAGTTCTGAGACAGGGTAGAGTGTACTATAGTGTACTGTGGTGTTTGATGCAGTCCTGAGACAGGGTAGAGTGTACTATATTGTACTGTGTGTTTGATACAATTATTGGATAGGGTAGAATGTACTATAGTGTACTGTGGTATTGATACAATTATTGGACAAGATAGTGTACGAGAGTGTACTGTTGTGATTGATACAGTCCTGAGACAGGGTAAAGTGTACTATAGTGTACTGTGGTGTTTGATACAATCCTGAGACAGGGTAGAGTGTACTATAGTGTACTGTGTTTGATACAGTCCTGAGACAGGGTAGAGTGTACTATAGTGTACTGTGGTGTTTGATACAATCCTGAGACAGGATAGAGTGTGCTATAGTGTACTGTGGTGTTTGATACAGTCCTGAGACAGGGTAGAGTGTACTATAGTGTACTGTGGTGTTTGATACAATCCTGAGACAGAGTAGAGTGTACTATAGTGTACTGTGGTGTTTGATACAGTCCTGAGACAGGGTAGAGTGTACTATAGTGTACTGTGGTATTGATACAATTATTGGACAGGATAGTGTACGAGAGTGTACTGTGGTGTTTGATACAGGTCTTAGATAGGGTACAGTGTACTATAGTGTACTGTGGTGTTTGATACAGTCCTGAGACAGAGTAGAGTGTACTATAGTATACTGTGGTGTTTGATACAGTCCTGAGACAGGGTAGAGTGTACTATAGTGTACTGTGGTGTTTGATACAGTCCTGAGACAGGGTAGAGTGTACTATAGTGTACTGTGTTTGATACAGTCCTGAGACAGGGTAGAGTGTACTATAGTGTACTGTGGTGTTTGATACAGTCCTGAGACAGGGTAGAGTGTACTATAGTGTACTGTGTTTGATACAGTCCTGAGACAGGGTAGAGTGTACTGTGGTGTTTGATAGTGTACTGTGGTGTTTGATACAGTCCTGAGACAGGGTAGAGTGTACTATAGTGTACTGTGTTTGATACAGTCCTGAGACAGGGTAGAGTGTACTATAGTGTACTGTGGTGTTTGATACAGTCCTGAGACAGGGTAGAGTGTACTATAGTGTACTGTGTTTGATACAGTCCTGAGACAGGGTAGAGTGTACTATAGTGTACTGTGGTGTTTGATACAGTCCTGAGACAGGGTAGAGTGTACTATAGTGTACTGTGTTTGATACAGTCCTGAGACAGGGTAGAGTGTACTATAGTGTACTGTGTTTGATACAGTCCTGAGACAGGGTAGAGTGTACTATAGTGTACTGTGGTGTTTGATACAGTCCTGAGACAGGGTAGAGTGTACTATAGTGTACTGTGGTGTTTGATACAGGTCTTAGATAGGGTAGAGTGTACTATAGTGTACTGTGGTGTTTGATACAGTCCTGAGACAGGGTAGAGTGTACTATAGTGTACTGTGGTGTTTGATACAGTCCTGAGACAGGGTAGAGTGTACTATAGTGTACTGTGTGTTTGATACAGTCCTGAGACAGGGTAGAGTGTACTATAGTGTACTGTGTGTTTGATACAGTCCTTAGACAGGGTAGAGTGTACTATAGTGTACTGTGTTTGATACAGTCCTGAGACAGGGTAGAGTGTACTATAGTGTACTGTGTTTGATACAGTCCTTAGACAGGGTAGAGTGTACTATAGTGTACTGTGGTGTTTGATACAGTCCTGAGACAGGGTAGAGTGTACTATAGTGTACTGTGTTTGATACAGTCCTGAGACAGGGTAGAGTGTACTATAGTGTACTGTGGTGTTTGATACAGTCCTGAGACAGGGTAGAGTGTACTATAGTGTACTGAGGTGTTTGATACAGTCCTGAGACAGGGTAGAGTGTACTATAGTGTACTGTGTTTGATACAGTCCTGAGACAGGGTAGAGTGTACTATAGTGTACTGTGTTTGATACAGTCCTGAGACAGGGTAGAGTGTACTATAGTGTACTGTGGTGTTTGATACAGTCCTGAGACAGGGTAGAGTGTACTATAGTGTACTGTGTTTGATACAGTCCTGAGACAGGGTAGAGTGTACTATAGTGTACTGTGTTTGATACAGTCCTTGACAGGGTAGACTATAGTGTCTGTGTTTGATACAGGGTACAGGGTAGAGTGTACTATAGTGTACTGTGGTGTTTGATACAGTCCTGAGACAGGGTAGAGTGTACTATATTGTACTGTGGTGTTTGATACAGTCCTGAGACAGGGTAGAGTGTACTATAGTGTACTGTGTTTGATACAGTCCTGAGACAGGGTAGAGTGTACTATAGTGTACTGTGGTGTTTGATACAGTCCTGAGACAGGGTAGAGTGTACTATATTGTACTGTGTTTGATACAGTCCTGAGACAGAGTAGAGTGTACTATAATGTACTGTGGTGTTTGATACAGTCCTGAGACAGGGAGGAGTGTACTATAGTGTACTGTGTTTGATACAGTCCTGAGACAGGGTAGAGTGTACTATAGTGTACTGTGGTGTTTGATACAGTCCTGAGACAGGGTAGAGTGTACTATAGTGTACTGTGTTTGATACAGTCCTGAGACAGGGTAGAGTGTACTATAGTATACTGTGGTGTTTGATACAGTCCTGAGACAGGGTAGAGTGTACTATAGTGTACTGTGGTGTTTGATACAGTCCTGAGACAGGGTAGAGTGTACTATAGTGTACTGTGTTTGATACAGTCCTGAGACAGGGTAGAGTGTACTATAGTGTACTGTGTTTGATACAGTCCTGAGACAGGGTAGAGTGTACTATAGTGTACTGTGGTGTTTGATACAGTCCTGAGACAGGGTAGAGTGTACTATAGTGTACTGTGTTTGATACAGTCCTGAGACAGGGTAGAGTGTACTATATTGTACTGTGGTGTTTGATACAGTCCTGAGACAGGGTAGAGTGTACTATAGTGTACTGTGGTGTTTGATACAGTTCTGAGACAGGGTAGAGTGTACTATAGTGTACTGTGGTGTTTGATACAGTCCTGAGACAGGGTAGAGTGTACTATAGTGTACTGTGGTGTTTGATACAGTCCTGAGACAGGGTAGAGTGTACTATAGTGTATGTGTTTGATACAGTCCTTAGACAGGGTAGAGTGTACTATAGTGTACTGTGGTGTTTGATACAGTCCTGAGACAGGGTAGAGTGTACTATAGTGTACTGTGTTTGATACAGTCCTGAGACAGGGTAGAGTGTACTATAGTGCACTGTGGTGTTTGATACAGTCCTGAGACAGGGTAGAGTGTACTATAGTGTACTGTGTTTGATACAGTCCTGAGACAGGGTAGAATGTACTATAGTGTACTGTGGTGTTTGATACAGTCCTGAGACAGAGTAGAGTGTACTATAGTGTACTGTGGTGTTTGATACAGTCCTGAGACAGGGTAGAGTGTACTATAGTGTACTGTGTTTGATGCAGAGTTGATTTTATGTTGGATTTTGTTTTACCCGTTGTATGATATGTGTGTTGTATTTGATAGATTCTTTGTGGTAGAATTTTTTATTATTTTGTTTTTGTCCTTAGACAATGTGGGAGAAATTGAATGGCATGAAACAAGAAATGACAAATGCATCCCATCGTTTTGATAATCTGGGTAGCATGGATAGTCTCGACCAGAGTGAAAAAGACCTGCCGTCCCCAGTAGCAGTGCTTGCCGATCAAGTTACCACTGAACTCAAGGAAGCCATCTCACAGGTAACATTTTTGTTACAACTGGATTTTTTCTGAATATTTCAGAACTAAATGACTTCAAAAATCAGTTGTACAATATGATGATATTTAATATAGATGCAAAGATTGATTGTTAAATTCATATCCGCTTCAGGTTGAAAACCGCATGGAAAATGTTCGGGATACTATTGGTCAGTGGGAGTCTGTCGATCGTCAGAGAACTGACTTGCGGAACTGGCTACACAGTAAACAGGAAGAATTACAGGTGATGGAACAGCGACCTGCGAAACTCCACGCTGAAGCAGCTGAACTGGAAATAGCAAATCTACAGGTAAGGGATTTATAGAGAATGCTGGTTTAGTGGACATTCATTATCATATACTTAAAAAGTCTTGCTTATTTAATGTACACAACACTATTCTAAGCCAAAAAACTCTTAAGGGATTTTGAGGATAGGAAATTCTGGGCATATTTAAAGAGAAGTCCAAGGATAACATGGATAGGTTTTTAGGTGAAATGTAATGTAACTAGGAAGAATGACAGGATGGCACACATTTGTACATTTTATACAAATGCCATCAGTACTTGTGACGCATCTTCAGACAACATCGTCTTTTTATATGTTGATTTAGTTATGGATCAGTCACAAAAAAGAATTCATCTCAGAATTGTTTTATAACTTACGGAATGTATAGATAACTCATAAGCATCTCTGGTTTTTGATATTCCTGGTTACACAAACTTGGTAATGATGAACTCAAAGCTTTCAAGTCCTACTGTCACTTAGTGTATGTACCAGCTGACACACAAACGGTGGCCCAATCTCTGTATTGCAAACGATCAGTATGCAAGGCACTGAATGTAGACAAGTGTACTTTGCCAAAGTCTTTCGCTGTACATTTTTATGAGATAGGCATGCGAAAACTATCCTTAATATGACGAAAAAGTAATCATATAATCGGAAGACTCACAGGCCCAATGTAGACTCAGCAAGCCAATATGTCAACACTACCTTCAGCCAATACACTAGCAAGCGGACCAATTCATCATTTGTCATTTCTTAACAATAAAAAATGTGGGTTTTTACAGTTTTTATAATTTATAACTAGTTGTAAAGTTTGGTTGTGAGTTTAATATCCAATGGAACACCAGTGGCATTTTTTTTTATTTAGAACATTAATTTGTTTCTGTGAATTTTGCACAGATTACACCGATTTGATGGTAAAAAGTATTCAAAATTTAAAATTTGACCATTAGCTAGTCATCTTCTGTAAACGAGTTGCATTGTTTTATGTGTGGTGGATTATATCTCACATTTAAAGTTACAAATTTATATATTCTCAACATGTTTAGCTTTTCAGTAATTTCAGTACTTTAATTAAAGTCATTGGTATAATCTTCCATTTAGAAGTTAAATACAACCTGTTGTATTGTGTTTAAACAAAAAATTGTTCCTGATTACAGGCTCTGAGGGAAGAAGTACAAGGGCGTGGACCGGCTGTAGATGCATTCTTAAATCGGTACCGGGATTTGACCCAGCACAACCCTGCCCTCGTAGACCCAGTGATGCGTGCTGTGCGAGAGGACTGGGAAGAACTCCTTGGACAAATTGAGAATCTACTGGAGGATAGGGAACAAGCTCTCCAGAGTAACCGTGACCTCCAGGAACAACAAACAGACATGGATCAAGATCTGGCTAATTTCGTTGAGGAGCTAGAGAAGATCGAAGCTGCAGATGTTGCTGTTGTGGAGAAGTCAGCCCAGCTAAAGGTATGTGTGAGTAGTCTGCAAGGAAGGCCTCATCCCTTATCAACTCTCAACATCAAACACCAAGGATCACTACCTTGTCAGAAAGGTCAACAGCAATCAAAACTATGTCATTTTCTTCATGTACATTATTCAGATGTTATATGAATTTTGTCTCTAGGAGAATTTCAAATCCTATATTTGATAAATTTGGAAATTCCAAAATAAAAAGCATAACTTTCATTAAGATGAATTTTGAGAATTGATAGTGAGGTTGAGGCCCTGTAAGAGCTGATGTGTGTAAACTGTGTGAACACTGACAAACCGCTGCATTACTAATGGTGGTAACCCTAACATCTGTAATGGCTACCTTCGTCCACTAGAATTTGTTGTCCAAAATGGTGTAGTCTTATGCCAAATTGGTAGCTAGACACGAAGATAGTATGTTGATGCTACTGTCTGGTTTGATAAGTTTTCTCCCTTGTTCAGAAGGCAGGCCTTATATTCACAGTTTACATACATTTTGATACTGTGTTTGCTGATGTAATGTTACATAGTTGCCCACTTGCTTTGCATGCCTCGTGAGACAACAGTAGTCCTGTACAATCCCTTCAGTAAATATATCACAATTGTACCCCATCGGAACAGAAACAAGTTGGCTATCAATAAAACCACATGTCACCATATTGTGTATTTTTCTTTATGTATCCTTTGATCGTTTGATGTCATCCTAATTATCAGCTATCGTCTTATCGAAAGGCAACACATGAGTCGATGTTGTATATCACTTTAATTATCTCAGTGTCTTTTCACCTTTGCAATTCCATTCCAGCACTCATCCTTTGTCCCATGCTCGTAGTTAAATTATTAGAATGAAAAAATAAATCTCTCATTTTTTATTTGTCATTAATGTGTTAAAATTTATTCCTTCACCTTAAGCTCAGTTTGATAATATAAACATCAGTACAACAACTTGGGTAGATATCCTTTGACATTATAGAAAGCTCCTCACTCTAAGATAAATGGACTATTTTAGTACAAAACATGCTATGTATATACATACTCTGACCAACTTCTATCCCATGTCTGTTGATTGGCTGAGAATGTGGCTGGGTAACCCAGGCTGGGATAAGCCATTGATAAGGGGGCGTAATCGATAAAGTTGACTGACGGGACTGAGGGTGCCGGGCCCGTTTGTATATTGGAAGAGCAAACATAAACTGTATACCCTTTATCTTGTTGATTATGGCTGGCAGCTACCCAGATCAATTTAAACTTAGCACACTGGCTGGCTGGTTGACCATAAGACCTTGTCGTGGTAAGACGGGTTTAAGCATGCGATGGATTTAAAGCCGGCATAACAATAGGAAAGTGAGTTAAAAGTCCAATTGTGTTGTACTGTTGTAAAGTGTGCTTCCATCTGGATGCCGCAGCAACAATGACGTCTTCAAAACAGTAGCAAGTTCGTGTTAGGGAAATATTGCACGGAGAATGAGCAGTTTATTATATCGATGAACAATCTGATGAATAAATCTGTGTGTATATATGGATGACTGGCTGGTCACGACAAGATAACTCAGAATTGAGTAAGTATGATGACAACTGAAGTGGTAAATGATGAGCATGCCCTGCTGGCTCTGTCTCTTTTCTATACGTACATCTCTCAGCTTTATCTGTCAGTCTATCCAGTCCTACCTTAGCGTTATTTAAACACTTATCTCTTAATCTATCAACAGACTAAAATTATTGATTCATTCACCTTTTCTATTATATATTATCTTTAGTATCCCTGTATATTATCCAGTATATCTGCCTAAGTTTGTGGTGTTAACTGTAGTAGTGTTGATCAGACCTCTAGCTGCACTGTCCAATCCTCAGCCTTATTTGGTATATAGAAGTCAGATCTGTAATCTGATTAGAATTTTGGCGGGAATTGGATTACCGGCAGATTGAGAACCTGTTAAAACATGTCAGGCAACTTATGTATTGGATCAATACAGAGACAAATAATTCACTAAAACTTGCTTGAATGCCTCTCAGCTATCTGGGTACACAGTAGGTCAATGAGAACTGAACAGCTGTGGGACAGGATATTTAAAGTCTGTTGATTTTCTCTCTCTTCACTATGGCCATTTTATCTGTAGTACAGTTTAACACTAACCTGAAGTAGGTGAGTTATCATCTTACCCATTGTTTATCTGCTCTATAGAACTCATGTGTCTTTCATTTTATGCTTTCACTGGTGTGAGTTCTCTCTTTCCTGGTGTGGCTTTAGACATTATTTATTTATGGTGACCTGTGTATATTGAGGTAAGTGGTGTATTAGTAGAATAAAAGATCGATAATTTGTCCATTACCGTACTGTTACTGAAATTGGATAAACTTTTTGGAAAAGTCCGATATTTAAACCTTCCTCATACTCTGTGCCTTATTATGTGGCAGTCCCAATGCAAAGCAAGTCTGCAACTTTTACTGTGCTATAGATAGATATGTAGCTAGCTAGTAGGGAGATTTTGTGTGATTTGGTGGCAAAAGCAGGGGGCTGCTTTCATTGGTGCTTGGTTGGTGTGGAAAGAAAGTAATCTCTTCTTCCTTGTATGTCTCATTTATTTACCACTTCTTTACAAACTTTAGGACAATATCAATAAATTGTTACTAAAAAATGTTAAATCACTTTGTCCATTAATACTTTTGATTAATGCTATGGAGAATTTTGTGTTAAACATTGGTGTTAAATCTTAATGACTGCTGTGAGAGTTTAAAGTTGACTGACATCTAAAGTGTTTTCTGACATTAATCCGTCCTTTGTTAATGATGTATTATATTACTGCTATTCCTCACTCATCTATCTACCCTGCAGAGACGCAAGTGCCGTTCCACGCAAACGTCGGACCCATCTGCTCGTTCATCAGGACGGCGCAGCAATCTCCTTGGATCACATAACAGTGACAATGACGATGATGACGATGATGGTGATGACAGTGTGTTTAGATATCCTCCTTCAGTACGTGGAGGCCATGACAGTACCCCAAGTAGACGTAAAATAAGGCGTGGACAAGGAAGCCAGCCACAAACTCCTCATTCATCTCGTCGCTCACACAGCAGTCGTCCTGATCATGATCTGAAGAAAGGTGGAGCAGCTGCCGCAGGATGTGAGTCAGAAAGTGAAGAGTCTGGATATGGTGAGACTTACTATACCATGCACGCTTCGAGTTTTGATACAGTCGACGTTTTTGGTTCCCAGACTTTAGACACGATGAGAGGTACACCCAGTCAGTTGTTATTAGAAGCTGTGTCAGATGCAGAGTCCACTGGCAGTTATATAATTGGAGACTTTCCCCAGATCAATCCTGATGATCTTCAGGATGCAGCATGTCAGACACCTGGCCATGCACACACACAGACTCCCGGCAACATGTGGTCAGGGAGCTCACGTAATATAAGTACACAGGTGCCACGCACCATGCAAACCCAGACAGAAGGTTTGCCACGGAATACATCAATGCAGACGTCCAACCTGTCACTAAACTCTGTTGGTAATCAGACTAGGAGGTCGCTTGGAGGTTCTAGAACAGACTTGTTAAAGAGTATATTGATGGACGTGAAAACTCTCAAGGCCCAACGGGGTATCGGCTCTGACACTCCGACTGATGATGCACGGTCTGTAGTCTCTAATGGTAGTCTGCCAAGAGAAATGCTACAGTCCTTGAGTTCAGATGTGCGTACCTTGAAAAATGCAGGCAGCCATGGAGTTGCTGCCACACAAACTCTGTCAGAACAGGGAACGCAGACTGGAATGAAAATATTCCCAGAAGGTGATCCCATTCGGAATTCTCGTCATGGACGATTACGTGATCTCATGTCTGACGTTAAAGACATGAAAGATGGCAATGACTCTCGATCACAGCACAGTCTTGATATGCCATATGAGAGGAGCAGACCTATGTCCAGTGTGAGTGGCCTTCGAAACTCCCCCGTACGATTTGCCACTCCGGTGCCTCCACCTACAAGGCAAAGTCGTGCTCCTCCTTCACAAGAGAATGGATTTGATAACCAGGCACCTTCTACAAGTTACTATCAACCTGTTCCTATGCCGGTGCCCAACCAACCAATGATGAATGTGAATTATGTGCCCCCAGCTACATATGGACCTATGCCACAGATGAATGGCCATTCTCCGTATCCTCCTGGACGAGTCACCCAGGACGATCTTAATGCCATAGGTGACCGAATTGATCGCTTACGTAACTACCAAATTCCTCCTCGTCGACAGCCCCCTCCTCCACCTCCTCCACCCCCTCAGTATGTTGTGCCAGTATTCTCAGCCCCACCAAGGCGTCGTGTACGCATCCAAGAATTCCCCCAACATTTCGAAGACGAACAGGACGGATTTATGTCTGATGAAAGTGAATATGATGGAGGTCAAGCTCCAAGGAGGAGGGGTAATGGAAGAGGTCGTGGAGTTCGGGATCGATATGGTCTTGACGGAGTGCTCACAGAGGCCACAGAGGCTGCACAAGAACTCAAAATTCTTTCTAAGAAGATGAGAGATTCTCTCCGGGATGACCTCCTCAATGGCCCATAAACAATTCTGTAGTCTGTTTTGTATCCAAGATTATTCCCCCAATCTTGTGATGTTAAACATACAGAGAATCAAACTTTTACAGAAAGAAAGTGACTTGGCACTGATATTTTTGCTCCATATTTGATTAAGATAGTGTTATTTAGATGGATGTTGTGTACATCATTCCACTTTTGAAACAATATGTAGGTATAAGATGATAATTTTTTGCTCAATGAAACCAAAAATGAAGTAGAACATTACTTTATGATCAAGTTATATAAGATGTTTGATATCATGATCGTAGATTGTTACAAAAGTTAACTTCTGAGATGAATTAGACGCTCCAAATAGAATTTAATTCTTAAATGAGTTATTCTTAAATGGTTATTGTTTTGTTTTGTTTTTTGGTTGTTTTTTTTTTTTCATTTTATCAACATTCAGACTGTGATATTTTCTGTAC